GATTTGGGAGGCTATCCAGAGAGCCAAGCATGAGAGAACCGAATTGCACGTTATATGGTTGGACTTAGCCAACGCCTACGGGGCAGTTCCCCATAGGCTACTGTGGCGAGCCCTTTGCATGTTTCACGTACCGGCACAGATCAATCAAATGATCGAGCAATATTTCTCTAAGTTCGCTTTGCGCTTCTCTACCTCGACGTTTACCACGAGGTGGACTGAGTTGCAGATTGGGATAACTATGGGCTGTACGATCTCACCCATACTGTTTGTCATGGCAATGCAGATCATGTTAGACGGGGCGGCCGGCTACGGACAGGGCCTTCAAATTGTGGACCACTGGGTGCCGCCACTACGCGCATTTATGGATGACACGACTATTATAACGGGCAGCGAGGAGTCTGCCCACACGATCCTGAAAAGATTGGACGCCGTGGTCCAATGGAGCGGTATGCAGTTCAAACCGCAGAAGTCGAGGAGTCTGTCAATCCATAAGGGCAAGGTGTCGGCAACCAGTTTTACGGTGGCAAGGAACAAGATTCCCACGGTTCTGGAGGAACCGGTGAAGAGCCTTGGTCGCGTTTACGATTCGAAGTTATCTGATAGAGCGGAAGTCCGGCGAATACACGAGTCACTGGCTATAGGCCTGCTCGCGATCGAGCGATGCAGGCTGATCGGGAAATTCAAGGTATGGTGTCTCCAATTCATGTTGATTCCAAAGCTCCTATGGCCACTGTTAGTCTACGAGGTGACGATGACTGCAGTGGAAACCATGGAGAAGAAAATCAACACAGCCTTGAGAAAGTGGATTGGTGCACCGCCTTGTCTGACCGACGTGGCTCTGTATTGCAAGCAGGCTAAGCTGGTACTCACGTTCAAATCAATAACCGAAGAGTTTAAAGTCGGGAAGGTAAGACTCGCCATGCTCTTGCGCGAGTCTTCAGACCCAAATGTCATCGCTGTCCAGCCCGCTCTAAAGACTGGCCAGAAGTGGAGGGTCCTCGATGCGATTGAATCTGCGCAGAACGCACTAAAATTGAAGGAGATAATGGGATACACTCAAACCGACCGTCGAGGCCTAGGGCACGGGAAGGTCAATTGGTGGTCAAAGACCTCTGCCAAAGAACGCCGAGACATGGTAATACAAATGTTGAGGGACAACGAAAACGAGGTTCGGGTCCAGAAAGCATCCCAACAGTCGCAGCAGGGCCATTGGGTCAGCCTGGAGAGCGCATTGCCAAGAGTACTCACATGGGGTGAAATCTGGCGGATGACCCCGTTGCGACTGAGCTTTATCGTTCGTTCGGCGTACGATGTATTACCGTCCGGTGTTAACATGGTTAAGTGGTCTGCGACCAATGATCCGACTTGCCCGTTGTGTAAAGCGAAGCAGACGCTGGAACACGTCCTGTCCGCGTGCAGGAAAGCTCTAGGCCAAGGCCGATATACCTGGCGACACAACAAGGTGCTAAAAGAGTTAGCAACCGTTGTTGACCAGGCTAGAATGAGGGCTAACGCTAAAGCCAGTTTTACTATCGTCCCCATACGTTTCCTCAAGGCTGGGCAGGTTCAAAAAGGTAAGGTCAACCGAAACACATTCGCTCTATCTGTGCTAGACTCTGCGAGGGACTGGTTACTGGCAGTTGATCTGCCGGGCCATGAAAGGTACCCTGAGTTGATCCGGAAGACCGGTCTGCGACCTGACATAGTCCTCCACTCTGCGGAGAAACGGCAGCTCACCCTGATAGAGCTGACCGTGCTGTATGAGTCGCGTATGGATGAAAATCACACATATAAGTTCGAGAAATATTGTGATTTAGCAGCCGGTCTGAGGAGAAACGAGTCGTACACGGTACGGGTCTTTGCCGTCGAAGTGGGCGCGAGAGGCCTCGTTTCCACTTCGCTCTACAATGTGGTTAAAGAACTAGGATTGCGAGGTAATGAACGGAAACGAACACTTAAAAAACTAGGCGAGGCAGCCGAAAGGGCCTCGAGCTGGCTTTGGACGCAACGGAACAACGTAGGGGACGGGCCTCGGTGAGCTGGTCCGGGTGTCTAGTGGAAAAGGGTTTCTCACCCCTTGAAAGTCCATCGTGTCCGAATTGTCTGCCAGTGTCTCTCTGCCATCTGCTAATAAAAGTCCAACATGTGTCCGGTAAACCAATCGTAAGCTTGTCGCTCGGTCGTCCAGGTACGCTGACTGTTCTAATTAGGCTGCCGCGACGATTTCTTATCTCACCGTACCTTCTGCAAACCACCAAGTCGTCTTGTCCCTATCCGAAAGGAAAACACCATCCGGTAATTTCGTGCAGCAGGGTACCAGCCCTGAGCTTCATGAACTAAGGTGGGCCCACCTCCGAAAGTGTCTAGGAATCGTGGGCCGAAACACTTGTTAACGAGGATAATTTCTACTGACGACTGGTAGATCCCTGCTGTACTTGCTCCCTGTGAGTTTATTCCTATTGAGCAGACAATGATTGCGACAGTAACCATATTAGACACGTGCGATTTCTATTTTCTTTCTTTTCCATTTAGCCAAACTATGCCACAGCAACGCGTGGCCGGGTACAGCTAGTTTAATATATGTGTTTCCACGGTTTCATAGTTCTGATTTAGAAAGGGAAATTAGAGACACAAAAAACCTCAATAAAGAAACATTCAGTATATCCCAATTATAACCAAGAAGGGTTGAATAAGATACAGTTGACTTTCACTACTGAGTCTGTTCAAGATATACAAGGTACAACAATTAATTAATTAGACTTATTTTATTATAGCCAAGTCACAAATATCTTTCGATTTTTAAATTGTCTTGTGTATCCTTCTAACTTTCTACTTCTTTCTTTGAGCACGATTCAATACATTGTCTCTTTATTAATTATTTTTATAAAATTGCTACGCCTTCAAGCCTCCCTCCCCCTTCCCCATTTTATTTATGCGAATGACGTACAACATAATGAGACCTACCAATCAAATCTTTTTCTTACATGTTCGTAACCTATTCATTCATTCAGTAGCATGTCCCTCGCGGAACCTCGCTGCCATAACAACCCTCCGGAAAACCTTCCTATCATGAGCAAGATGTCCCGCGTCTGATACACCCATCTGGAGATCATCTGCCACATCCTGCACCCATCTTCTCCTTGGCCTTCCTCTTCCTCTCTTCCCAGGCATATACCCCTCCATTATTGTTCTCTCTAGACTTCCATGACGTTTCAAGTGACCAAAATATTTCAATTTTCTTTGTTTTATTGTCTTTACTAGCCAACCCTCTTCAATATTCAGCTCTTGAAGTATGGATGCATTTGTTCTTTTCTTTACCCAAGATATTCTTAGAACTTGTCTGTAACATTTATATTCAAATGCATTTATGCGCTGTTCCGCTTGTTTAGTAAGTGTCCAGGTCTCACAGGCGTATGTTGCAATGGGAAAGATGCATGCTCTTAAAAATCTGACCTTTGTAATTCTAAATTCTAATTCGTAACCTATAGTGCCATTTAAATGGTCTGAAATTAATTATGTCCGTATTCCATAGTTGTGGATTTCAAGCTATACGATAGAATGCTTGTCTCCATAGCGAGGCGCACACGCCATTTCTATGTGACAGGTTCGATTTCTGGCATGGTAACCATAGCTTTCGATTGTTATGTTGTCTAGTGTGTCCTTCTATCTTTCTACTTCTTTCTACGAGTGCTGATTAACACATTGTCACTTTGTGTGTGTGTGTGTGTGTCTATATATATATAATATTTCTATGGCTTCAAGGGTTCCCCCTCTGTTTATTTATGTCTGTGAAACAAAGCATAAATCCAAAGAGGCAACAGTCATCTATGATCTGGCAACTTTTCATTGCCGCCCGATAAGCAGACAACAAACAAGCCGCCATTTTGTTGACCCGGTCAGAGGTGCATTGTTACGTAATCGGCATAAGGCAAAAAGAAAACATTAAATTATGTTTAAAGTCATAAAAATGCCATTGAGACAGCTGAATTGATACGACAAGTTTATAGGGATAATTGTTTATCTCGTGTACAGATTTTCAGGTGGTATTCACGATAGAAAAGTGGCAACTAAACTTGGTCGCCAAATTTCTGTTCGTAATGAGGAAACATTGCAAAGGTCAGAGAACGGATACAAGAAGATCTTTGTTTAACCATGGAGATGATGTCAACTTCATTTTGTGTTAACAAAGAAACCATTCGGAAATTTTAGTGGAAGATTTGGACAAGAAAAGGTTGCTTGCCGGTTTGTACCACATTCGTAGTGTTCGTTGTCCGATGATCAAAAATATCGGTGTGTTGAGTAGGCAAAAGACATAATCAAACCGATCTCTTAAAAAAGGTGCTGGTGCTGTGTACTGTTACGTACCGCCAGAAAAAAAGGCTTTATGTGTACATACACAGTAATGCTATTAGTAATAGTAGTTAGGGAGGTTTTGCCTTTCTTAGGCAGGCAGTACTGGTACCCTTTGAGGACTTTTTTGTTAGAGCCACTGTGATAAGCACTTTGTTGTGAGTACTCGCTTCTCGGCCTTTTGGCTAAGATCAGAGTGTAGCTCTGCTGCACTGGTCTGGCCAAAAACGCTGGGATCGGTCCCAAACTCACGGAAGTAACTATCACGGCATGAGCCATCCTAACTGAGAGCCGGGAATGCAATCCTTAAAAAAAAAAAAATTGTGGTGCGTACTGGTACTTTTTTTCTAAGGAAAAAAGTACAGATGGTACTATCTGTAACCATACAGTAATGTTTGTGTGAGACAGTCGCCCTGGATAGTCAGCAAAGTAGTTGAATCTACTGACAATGATGCTGGACAATATGGCAAACAAGTTAGAGAGAGAGAGAGACTTGAAAAGAAAGAGGCAGTTTACCTGGCAACGTTTTTAATGTGGTTTTTACTAAAGAAGAAGATTAAAATGGTGGAGTTTGTTTTTGCAAACATTTTCTCTACATGTTGATTATGAATGTATCGGTATTCTAGGAAGCCATCAGTTGATATCAAACAATGAGTTATCTGCCAGGAACAGCAAGTCTAGTGGAGGAGATAGACAGTAAGTCGTAGCATTGTTATTGTTTTGTTGAGAAACTGTTTCCATCCACTGAACTTTCGAATTTTAATTTAACCCTTTCGAGACGGCTTAGGCGCTTAACTAGCCTTCTCAGTTTCAGTGCCAAAAAGACAGAGTAGAGCCTTCCGAGGGGATTCCCTAATTTAGTAATTTATACACACAAATTTTACCTAAAGAAAAATAAAGCGTTTAATTTAATTAACATATCCAAAACTATATATTATATATTATGCGAGAATATTTTTTACAGATAAAACTTGCTGTCACCCAAAAATAACAATAAATGATGAAGAAAAATAATCTCACAAAATTTGAATATCTAGTTAATCTAGGCTCTATAATAAACAGCAATGGAGACTGTTAGACAGAAATTAAAAGGAGGATGGCCATAGCAATGCAAAGATTCAGTTCTTGTTATGCCTAGTGGCACATGAGGCTTCAGAGAGGACTTTCCTGGCCTGTGCAAAGATTGAACAGCCTTAAAAGTCTATGGTTTAAAAGCACCAGATAAAAATTAGAATTTTGAGAGCATGGATCTTCCCTGATACGGATGTGAGTCGTGGACTATCTCTAAGTCCTTAAGAAAAAGAATAGCGGCTTTTGAGCTGAAATGCAATAGAAAGATTCTCAGAATATCTTGGACAAAGAAGATGAGAAGTATTGACATCTTGAAAGATCTGAACATCAAAGAAGATTGGCTAATAAACAGCATCCTTTCTCAAAAGCTGAAATATTTTGGTCATATCAAGCGCCACGACGGATTGGAAAAAATTATAGCAGAAGGCATGGTACCAGGAAGGGGGAGCAGATGCCGACCAACACAAAGATGGGCACAGGATGAGGATATAAGTGACTCCTTGAGTGTGAAAGTGCATGAGGCGGGGGAACTGGCGAGAGACCGAGTTTCTTTCAGGCAGACTGATGAGAGCGACGTTCTGGCAAGGACATGCTACATGATGTTGATTATACATAAAGTAGTTCGTGTAGGAAATTGAATAAACTGACTCTCAATCGTTGACATTGACCGTTATCATAACGGTTATGAGGTTATGAATCGCAATGAATGAAATCTCAACATTTATACGAGGTGTACATGCGGTTTTTTTTTTTTTTGTTGTTGTTTAAATACTGACAAACATGACTAACTTGAACAGTTTGGCTACATTTTCTGATGAACGAAGCCTGAAGTGAATAAGTCCTAAAACTTGTGTATTTTACTTTAGGGAAGCGGCCCATGTACTCCAGACACCTCTGGCACATGCTTCTCCTCCTGCCTCGTGCTGTTTTGGTTGCTATGAAGCAAAAGTCCTTTTCACCATAGACAAATTATAGTGAAATCTGATAAAATATGGATTCCTGGCTGCGACCCAGTAATATGTAGGGATGAAATGACTAAATGTTTGCATTTTATAGCAATCAATAACTGTTTTATTTTGTTTGTTGCTTAATGTTTCTTAACAAATCCATTTGCATTTAATATCATTGCAATCTGGCAGTGAGGCCTATCTCTTTAATAAAGTCGGCTATCCTCCAAATAACGGGCACAAAAGATGGCGGCAGCAAAAACACCCTAACAGAGCCTCAGTCACGTGTCAATTGTGCACTTCCTATGACTTAATTTGCGGTTTTCCGGCGACTACCGCCACCGCCGATAGTGTCTTCCATGGCGCTCACCCGACGTGGATTGGGCTAAACTAGATGGCTGGGACTCACTAGAAGCAGCTTCCGCATCTCCTGCAGTTTAGCCCCAATCCACGCCGCATGAACGGACACTGTCAGGGGTGACGGTAGTCGCCGGAAAACCGCAAATTAGGTCGCCGGAAGTGCGCAATTGACACCTGAATGAGGCCATCTTTTGTGCCCGTTATTCGGAGGATAGCCATAAAGTCTATATGCATATCTTAAATACATATGATGCAAAATGGGCCTTATTAACATATACAAATAAAAATGGCCATCAGTTCTCTAGTTTTAAGTTAGCACTTTGTGATGTAATAATTACAAATGGTTTAAAGTACAAAATATCCACTTCAATCTACTTGGTTTTACCCCACATGGCTTGATCAGTCTCCACATAAGGGCTAGCCACTTCTTGAGAACGATGCATAACCTCCATAGTTCTAACAATGTTTCCTAGAGAGCCTACAACTTTCAGACCATGAGGCAAATGGCTCAACAACTTAGTCACTGTGTTTACTGCTTACACTATATAGTATAGTTTTAACTTGATTGTAAATATTTTAATGGAGCACTGTGTAATGTAAAGTGTGCTGAATATTGTTTGATGCTGTCTGACTTAAAGTAATTAGTAATCAGAATTGAATTCTTGCATGATTGTTTTCAAAATTGGATGTATGTTGCCACTGTGCACACCTATGGATGAGCTGCTCTTTGTGATAAGGCCTTCTTACTATCTTCATGTCATCCCTTCATTAGCCCATTACAGTATATGAGTATAGGTCTTTCAACCAACTCAGAAAATGATTTTGGCCTACTAACCTCCCAGATCTCCCCAGCCTACCCATATATTCTCTTCATGTTTTTTGGAGGGGGGAGGGGGGGGGGGGGGGGGGGGTTGGTCACCCCTGACTATTTCTCTGGCCTTGATGATTACACTGCAAGGCCATTTTTTTTTTTTAGTAGTGCTAATACTGATATTAAATTATTATTAGTTGTCATAGTCATAGTCACACTAACAAGGGTCCACATCAGTTATTCTGTCAAACAGTGTCATTTCTCTGTTATCTGCAGGCAACCGTTTTGTATTTTCAAACTGGAGGATAGAGTGAAATAAATATTCTCATTTTTTACTTGGTCTAATTTACTTTGAATTTAATAAATTTTCTGGTTTTATGAAAACTTGACTTTTATATTAGTTGTATATCTGTTTCCTCAAATATCTCAATTTAAAGCATTCCTTCCCCATCTCCAGTAGTTGGTGAAGAGTTCCAATCCTGATGAGTCCTATAAATAGTGTGTCTAATGACTGCTCCATTATTTGGTACTTTAGGACTTTCACAGACTGTATTGGAGAGTGCTTCTTCCCCTCTTCAAGCTCACTACCTAATGAGTTGTGCAAGACCTGTATTGTTACTTTATATCTTCAGAGAGACATGTTAGGATATAACTAAATTATTTTTCAGCACAGCATATAGCATATACAGTCTGGCTGGGATTATGGGGTAATATTTTGTCCATGCAACTCCAACACAGTGCTTATTCGTTTTTTTAAAACAGTAAAGGGCTCCTTTCATGCCAAAGCTACAATAGGCCTATGGTGGATTTTGGGGCTGGATGGGTGGTGTGGTCAACATTCTGCCAGCCATCTTACTTCCCAGGACATTTCCTTGTACTCATTTAGACTGGGTTGACCTTGGAGCCCTAGGTCATCTCCACAATTATTCAAAGGAAAACTAATATCTTTTGAAGAACTCAGATTATGTACAGGTGTGGCTGCATATTTCTGAGATTAAGAATGATTTTTTGTGATGTTTTAGAAACATGAAAAATGTGTTCCTGATATATAATCACATTTTGGTTTTATGATTATTTTAAAGCTGCCTTCAGTTTTAGTAAAGAAAAAGTAATCTCAAAAGTAGGAGCTATGTTTCTTGAATAAATTAGCAGTTAACACATTTATTTTCCCCTTTTCATTGTAGAGAAGCTCTTAGTGGTTTTAAGAGATGGAAGAACCCTTATTGGATATCTGAGAACAATAGACCAGTTTGGTAAGTCTGTTGTGCTGTTTGTGATCACATGAGTATGCAGTAACAAATTTGTTCTCTATCATGCAGTATTAATAATATCCTACCATGTTTCATGGGGTACGTCAGGGTTGCAGGGTTGTTGAAGAAGGGGAGGGCAAAGAAGAACCTAGAATGACAGCATCAAGAAATGGACAGGACCAAGTTATCAGACACATATTCATCAAGCGGAAGTCAGAGAGATGACAGGTTTTGTGTGCTTATGCTTCCATCGATCACCTTCACGATCCTAAGAGGTCAAGGGTTATGTTATATTGGATGAAAAACACTACAGAGCCCTTTTTAAAAAATAACCAGAAAAATGTAATAAATCATCTTGTATTCTTCATGGGATACTTATCACCAAACACAGCTTTCTTTCATTATTGGATTTATTTTTATCTTTTACTCAGTCCTTGTCATCCCTCCTGTCTTCTCGTTGTCTCATAGTGAATGCTTTAACACTCATTCACACCCACAATATATCAATCATCTTTGCTGTCTCTATGGACCCATTCCTATCTCTGATTGTTGTTTTGAAGATATTACTAGAGGGATTAATGATTCCTACAATATCAGTTCATAAAAGTAACATGGAAGTTGATCAAACCAATTAAATATGGCTTACAGTAGAAGAAGGAAGTAAAAGCAACAACTAATGAGAAGTGATAGAAAACTGTGGACAAGTGACAACACTTGGCAGTGTATCTGAAAAAAAAAAAACTGACACTTTTAATCTGCAATGCCAGAAACTGAAGCACATGGCATACAGAATAAAGCTATGTGGCTGATCCTGGGATGTACAGGAGACACCGGATTGTGTGCATGCGACACGTCCTTGCATTGCCGACTATTGCAAATAGCTAAAGGTCCTGCGAGCTAATTCATACCTCAGAGTAGCTGCAGACTGGGAACACCCTCTATATGAAGCCTTAATCTGCAGTTAAGAGTCAGAGGCTAAAAAGGGGGAAATCATGGATGGCTCGAGCAAAAGACACAATAAGACAAATATGCTCGCTGGAGAACATTGGGCAAGGAGAGAAGTGGGTCAGAGTACCAGCAGAAAAGTTTGACCTGTGTAGAGGGTTATGATCACATTGGGCTTGGTGCAGAGAGTGGCCAGCGGGTGCTATGGAGGAGTAAGTCCAACAGTTGATTTACGACAATTCACGCCTAGGTGATCTGATTATCTACACAGATGGTTCAGTGTTGAGAGGAAAGAGAAGTTCATGGGGGTTTGTGGCAAAAGCCAGTGGAAATTCTTTAGTGCAAGACAGCCTAGTATATGACACCACAGCATTTAGCATGAAAATGGAGGTGGAGGCGTTTACTGCAGCTCTCTGGTGGCTAGAGAACAAGATGCATACACATGTTGTAAAGAAAAGTGAAGACGGATGCTTTGAACAAAGTGGCAAGCTTCACTGGAAAGTTCACGGGTAGTGAGCATACTTTGGGTTTTCTCCAGGCTATGCTGGCGTGGTGGGTAATGAAAAAGCAGACAGATAGATTGGCTAAATCTGCACCACAAGGCAGATGTGGTCAAGGTCCTTTGGGAACAAGCAACGAAATGAGTAGAGAAAGAAGATTATTATGGCCTGGATAGAATGAGGCACCTGGGTGTAACCAAAGTGTCTGGCAGGCTGACTACACTCAGAGGAAAACTAAGTCGGACATATAACCAGATTTTGACCGGTATCATCAGTATTAGAACTGCGCTGGCTGCTGAAGATGAGGATAGAACATGCATGGGAATGTTCTGAGTGCTGTGATGTCAATTCTTATTCTGGCTGCATTCTTACAAGATGACCAAATCATTTGACTTCATGTTTCTCAATGGGTTTGATGCATGGTGTTGTTCCTAGTCTGTCTGACATTTCTAACTTTGTCTCAGATGATTAAATTGGCGTCGTTGTCAGAAAGACATAGAAATAGAAATTTGGGGTGGCCCCCTTTAAAATTAGTGATGATACATTGCTTGCATCTGATGCTGAGCAGATTAAGAGATGGCAATAAAATCCCAAGAGATTTAAATGGGACCTGGTACTCAAAACCCAAGGAATTTTATTGTAGAGCCAAGAATAATTCTATTACCGGTAACATTAGGACATAAATAAATTGAGAAAAAAAAGAGGCAGTCGGTTCTTTGGCAAACTACACTACAGTGGGAATGATATTATTACTGCAGAAATGCTCAAGGCAGCCCGTGATGCAGCTATAAACCAAGTGAAAGATCTGTTTAATACAAAATTTAAAGTCCCTAATCAGCATCATGAAAAAAGGTAATCTTAGAGACTGAAACAAATAGAGAGGAATTACTCTGTTATCAGTGATGTCCAAGACTTCTTTGCAAAATAATTCTCTATATTATTAAATTGGGTAAGGGACAAAAACCTGAGAGAGGAACAAGCTGTTTTAAAAAAAAAATAAATTGGCTACTGGAAAATTTGAAATAAATAGGGAAAACAGACACCCCAGGAGGAGGAAGAGTGGGAGGGAGAGCAAAAAGAACTCAGACAGCACAGCAAAAAATACACAGATGCTCAATATTCTGCAGCTGAACATCTGTGGAATAAGAAATAAGAAACTTGAACTTGCCAAACTGCTAAACAACCACAGGGTACACGTGGCTGCCCTACAAGAAACCCTGCATAAAGACTCTGATCTGCATCTCACTGGATATACTAGTTATGCCTGTAAGTGCAATGACTGCCGGGGCATAGTGACCTATATCAGAAATGACATACAAGGAGATGTAACAATGCTGTCGACATCTCACCCTACAGATGTGCAAAAAATAACTATCTGGCACAATGGAAGCAAATATACGCGGACACTCGCCACGTTGGGGTTACCCTGACTACAATAGCACAGGGAAGTACATCGAAGATACTTGTGAAACAACTAACCTTATAGTGCTGCAGGACACAGAGTCTACACCTACACTGTTACACAGGGCCCACCTATCTCTCAGCAGACCAGACCTGACCATCTGCTCATCCGACTTAGCAGACGCAAGCTATCCCCAAGTCCTGGACGACATAGGAAGTGACCACAAACCTATACTCACAACTGTAAGCACCACCCCTAAATTACGCTTCAAGCAGAGAACCCGTTGGAATTTCCGAAAAGCAAACTGGAAACTATTTCAGGAAACATCTGACTGCCTCCTGGGAAGAATTGACAACAGCTGTGTGGAAACTTTTTGTGAAGACATAACACAAGCAATCCTGAATGCAGCGTCGAAAGCCATCCCAAGGGGCAGCCGGAAGGCATATAAACCTTTTTGGAATCAAGAAATTCAAAATACTATATCTGAAAGGAATAAAGCAAGAATATTTCTCGAAACTGCACGTTCAACAGAAGCAAAGATCCAATACAATAAAGCATGTGCCAGAGTAAAGCTTGTAGTTAATAAGGCTAAAAGAGATAAATGGACAGAAACTTGCTCCAACTTAGACCTTAGACAGAATGGAAATAAAGCATGGACTTTAGTTTAAAAACCTCTCCGGAGAAAGTAGAAGGGTGAACCCAAAACCAGTGACAGATGGGAGTAAGACAATCACTGAAGACAAGAAGAAAGCAGAGCATTTTAATCATTATTTTGCCTCAGTTAACAGAGCAGGTAAGCTGTCAGAACTCAATAGAACACAGCTCTCTCAGTTGAAGAAACAAGAGAGAGCTCCAACAGCCAGCGACTCCCTTTTTGAAAATGAATTTAGCATGGATGAATTAGAGCAAGCCCTGAAGAAATTAAAACCTAGAAAATCTCCAGGCCCAGATAAGATCCACAACGAAATGCTGCTACATCTTGGCCGGTCTGGGAGAGAAGTAGTTCTCAGGCTTATTAATAAAACTTGGAGGTCAAGCAAACTTCCAAGGGCATGGAGGAATGCATATATCGTCCCCATCCTTAAAACCAAAAAGCCTCCAGATGACCCCAAAAGCTACCGCCCGATATCCTTAACATCATGCTTGGGCAAAGTTGCAGAAAGAATGATAAACAGGCGCTTATATTGGTTTCTTGAGAGTTCTGGTGTTCTATGCCATGAACAGGCAGGCTTCAGAACCAACAGCTGCACAGAAGACCAGCTGTTCAGACTGACACAAAGAATACATGATGGCTTCCAGAATAAGAAACACACAGTGGCAGTCTTTGTCGATCTCCAGCAGGCCTATGACAGAGTATGGAGAAAAGGTCTCCTGATGAAGATGATGAGCATAGGAATACATGGCAGATTGTATAACTGGGTGAAATACTTCCTGATAGATAGAACAATCCAGACTAAGATGCACAACGCAATCTCTTCTAAAGAAGTCTTGGAGGAGGGCTTGCCACAAGGCTCATCATTGAGCTGTACACTATTCCTAATCTTTATCAATGACCTGCCAGAACAAATCAAGGCCGAAAAAGCCTTGTACGCTGATGACCTAGCAATATGGCAGAGTCATGAAAATGTGGAAAGTGGAGCCCAAAGACTGAATGGAGACCTTAGAAGACTGCATGATTACTGCCAAAGATGGAAACTCAAGATTAACTGTGCAAAGACGGTCTACACAATCTTTACCAAAAGCCACCAAGTAGCAAGGAAGAATATTAACCTGAGGTTAGACAAACACCAAGTGATGAAAGAAGAGCATCCCACATACCTTGGAGTCACACTTGACCCGCAGCTCAGCCTCAAGAACCATATTGAAAACATCAGGAATAAAGCATTGAGGCGGTTACAGTTATTAAAGAGACTTGCAGGTACATCATGGGGATCAGACAAGGAAACTCTGAGGGGCTTATACCTAGGATATGTTCGCTCTGTGATAGAGTACAACAACTCACTGCTTACAACTTGTTCCAAAACTAACCTAGAGACTCTTGACAGAGTACAAAATAATGCCCTCCGATTAATCTGCGGAGCTATGCAGTCTACACCAACTGCTGCATGTGAAATCCATACAAATGTGGAACCCCTCGGGTTGCGGAGAGAAAAAGCCACTTTAGAAATTTATGAAAGATGCGTTAGGAAAAATCGTAACCATCCTAATAGACATCTTGTAGAAAACTGGGAATCCAAACAAAGAATAAAGCACAAATCGGTTTTACACTGTGTTAATGAAATTCAGGACAGATACCACCTCCCAGAAAGACGTCAAGGAATTCAGAATGTTGCAAAAAACCTACCACCACATGCTCGCTTTAAAGCTCCAGAAGTCCAAACTAAATTGGTAGGCGAGGAAACCAAACAGTCCGACCCAATCGCTCTTATGAACTCATCACTAAAGACCGTTGATTCTTACCCCCAAGAATGGATACATGTCTATACTGATGGATCAGCATTTAAAGCTACCATTAAAGCAGGTTACGGAATCTACATAGGTTATCCCGATGGATCTGTTGAAGAGATTTTTGATGCATGCGGGGAATTCTGTTCAAACTATGAAGCTGAAATAATTGCACTGGAAACAGCAGTATACCACCTAAAGACTGTAATGGATGTTTACCCCTCAAAGGTCCAAAATATTGTCATCTTCACAGACTCAATGTCTGCCCTTCAAGCTCTGGAAGGCAATGAACGCTGCAGAACTGACATAGCCAAGATAATCCTGGATGCCGATCAGCTTATTACCTCATACAACATCAGAATAGTGATGCAGTGGATTCCAGGTCACTCCGGCACACCAGGTAATGACAGAGCTGACAGATTGGCAAAGAAAGGAGCAACACAAGAACAACCACCTACAGCGACAACCCTCCAGACAGCAAAAACACTGATAAGAGCTATAAACAAAGAGACTTGGTTGAACAGATGGGCCATGGGAGATACTGGAAGAGAGGTTTATAGACATATGTCTGGCCCTGATCCTAATGACAGCATTAACCATCTAACAAGAAGGGACCAGGCCACCATCTTCAGACTTAGAACGCAACATACTCCACTCAATGGACACCTAAACAGAATACAGCCACAACACTCCCCAGAGTGCCAGCTATGTAACTACCCCTACGAAACTGTTGAACACCATCTCTTTGAGTGCCCAAAACTCAGTGAGACAAGAAGAACGCTACTCCCTCCGAGACCAGACAAGTGGAACACCTTGTACGGAGGAAAAGAACAGCTTGTGAAAACATGCAAATTCCACTACATGGCATTGGGCCAAAGGGCGAAAGCTCATGCGCCGCTGGATCGATAACAACAACAACAACAACAACAAAAAATAAAGCAAAGGAGATCATATCCTCCCTTTTATAGTGGTAAGTATCCCCCTTCCGCCAACCCGTCACACACAAGACCGGAGTTTGGACCCCCCCCCCCCCCCCCCCCGGAACCTATATTTTAAGGTGGCGACAGTTCGTCTCTGCCTTATGTGACTCTGAGAATAGAGCAGGAGGCAGTCACTGCTGCCTTCCGTTGGCTTGAGAATCAACTGTATACACATGCCATGATTGTAACTGACTCACACAGCTTGTTGAGAAATGTGGAGACAAGTATGCTCCATGCAGAGTGGTAAGCATCACTAAGCATCACTTCAGAGGTCCCAGATAGTTAGTATTTTTTGGATATTCGCTGCAGGTCATGCCAGTGTGTTCAGAAATAAACAGGCAGAAAAACTGGCCGGTTCTACACTACTTGGGGGTGAATTGATGCATGACAAAACAGACGTTGTAGGTGCCCCCTAGGAGCGAGTGAACAGTGCGGAAGCGCAAATAGATCATTACGGTCTGAATAGAATGGCGCTGCAAGAAGTTACCAGGGGATGTGGCCGACGCTGAACACTCAAGGGGAGGACGTAACGGATATACAGTCGGACAGTTACTGGCACCGTCGGAATTTGAACTCTTCGTTTGCTGCTGAAGATGGGGACAGAGCACTTATAGGGTGTCCTGAGTGCTATGTTATTGATTCTTACTTCAACATTCAACTCTGGGCGGGCTCCCCCCCCCCCCCCCCACACACACACACACACAAAATGGTTTCATGTTTGTTTACAATCTCTGTTGTCTTGTGTCCATTGAGTTTTTCCAGTCACAGTTGTTTTGTATCTAATACTTCTTATCATTGTTTTATATATGTTATGTAGATCAAGGGTTGTCTAAATGCAAATGCTTCTCATCACACCAATCCTGACTATCTTAGTGCTCAAATTTAAAATAGTATTGTATTTATGTGTCAGATCTGGGATATTTCTCATTTGTGGAGTGAACAATATGATGAGATGCTTAATGATTGTTTTTGGTTTTTTTTTGCTGACGAAGGCTTGTCAGCACAGTGTCCTGTTTATTTGTGGTCATAATCAGAGTCGAGGGATAAGATGATAATTCTTTTAACATTGACTTACACTTTATGTTTTTGCAAACGTTAATGTTTCGTGAAAATCAATGTCTTTCACTCAGAATGGACTCTCTTAAAGGTAAACCAAAAAAATGTAAATTTCTACAGTATTCCTAGTTTTTACAGTGGCAGTCACTGAAAATCACATCTCTTTAATTTTCAGCCAACCTCGTATTGCACAGAACTATAGAACGTATTCATGTTGGTAAAAAGTATGGTGATATTCCCAGAGGCATCTTCATTATTCGAGGAGAAAATGTAGTTTTACTCGGAGAAGTGGTAAGTAACCACTTTGAATTAGGAGTACAACATCAAGACTGAAATGCGTTGAAATGATCTACATCAGTAGACTGTTTGCATGTTAATGTGAATAAATCATGCACTTTGTAACATATACCATTTATTATTCCTGAGCATCCAGAATACTTGATTGTATACACTCAGAGCACCAGTTGAAAGTTCATAAATCCAACAGAGAACTTATGTGGATATTAAAAAAGACAGGCAGTGATTTATTTAGCATTTTAATCCGTTCCATAAACTTCTGCATATAATGCTGTTAGCAAAACGCTAACAACAACTGATGTAAACAGTCTGGCATCATAATCTTTTAGTCATTTCTCTTGTGCTGGGATCAGTGCATTACTGTTCTTGAACTCTTTCAGGTTCATGAATTTTGGCAGACATGGCTCACATTTATTTTCCTTTACAAAAATGGCCGAGGGGGTGGTGTACAAGAAAAGCAATAGAGAATCTAATATACTTCTAATCCCTACAAAAGTGTATTTTTTTTAAAGAGAAATGAATGTACATTTTGAATCTGGTGATAAGTGTATGTTGTTATAGTTAGTAGAAAATAAGAATTCAGCAGGTGTTAATTTCACAACATTTTACAAACAAATTCTTTACTTACCATGGTTTTGTAGCCACAAGAGTAGTGAATATCCAAATTTGAGAATAATACTTTTGAGTTTGTTCAATTTCCTAACAAATTCCAAAGTTGTGATAAGTTCCTGGGTTAGTTTAGCACTCAGGGACTCTAAAGTTCCAACAGAGTGTTGAACATTTCACACAGAAAAATTAACCTTTACACACAAAATTTACTTTGTAATATACAGGCTGTAGCTGAAGTGATTTAAATTTAGCTTAGCCATAGTATAGTAGTATCTATTTATTTGGAGCAATTTCCTTCTCTTACACCCTAAACATGGTAGCAATGGAACATTGTATGTATCAGACTCATCAGAATTGCTAAATTCCCTACTAGCTGATTGCTCAGCTGTTGCTGGCGTTAATTCATCGTCGGAATCACTTTCCAAATAATCTAAATTATCATTATCAGAATTAAAAACATCTGACTGAAACAATTTCAGATCTTTGGCCATAGAAAGACACATTCTGCGACCTGTACTTGTGGTTGGAACATTGGTATTCATAGTTCTCGAAAACGAACTTCGAAAAAGCACTGTTGAAAAAAATGTAGCTATGAATCCGATCAATCTGTGCACACGTGTCTTGGGATATGGAATGTTATGAAAAGGAAATCATCAGAGTAACCTTCCCTGAATACTTAAATGGTAGTTCAGAACATTAGAAACAAGTACGGAGCCATGTGCGAAGTAGTATGTACAGGACATGATTGACACTGAGAGTGTTGTTCGGGCTCAGAATTTCTCAATAAACACTCACAGCATTGCTAGGGCCTTAAAGAGTTAAATGAAATTGACCAATTTATGAAAACAGTGCCCATTCATTGAAGGTACAGTAATGCTAGTTTTCAACGAGTCTGCCTATTTGTTCTAATATCTATCCTCATGTCACAGTCCTATTTTAGTTCCATTAATGGTTATTCATAAGAGGAATTGTTCGCCCCTGTGGCAAACTTTGGTTGGCTACTGGACAAGATGCCTATGGTATGTGGAGGTCATATGATCTTGTCAGGGAACTGCTGTAGCACACTTGTCAGCCAGCCTGTTGGTCATGTATTTTCCAATGACCTAGACTACCAGGTTAACCCTGGCTAAAAGGGGTAGTAGGAAGTTGCATAGAAAGTAAAGGCAGCTGATATGCTATTAGCTATATCACCAGCCAAGTGCTGATTTGGTCGAAAATTATGGGGTTAGCACCATATACCCACCAATATGCCTCATAGCAGGTAAAGGTTTCTCATAGATTATGTTACGAAGAAAGCAGCCACAGGCACACAGACGGACCTTCAGTGGAACCTTCTCAAACACCTGGAACATTTGGACTTTGCAGATGATATCTGTGTCATCAGCTAAAGTAAAAAACATTTGCAACAAAAGACAGATAAGATCACAGAAATAGCAAAACAGACACATGAGATTGCCTATTGGCTATAACATACGCCTAGTGTTTTAGCCCGGTGCACCACTTGTGTTAAAATTGTCCTTTCAACAAAATTATTGTCATGTCTGGAGCTTGATCCTAGATCACTATTTCAGCAGGCAGGCATGCTGACTACTGTGCCACAGTGATATCAAATGGAACAGGTAAATATTTGTATGGCCTTTGCTTTAAAACTTTAATAATATAGTTTTTGTTTTCACTTTAGATAACAGTATTTGAGAAAACATTCTAATTGGTGGGTTTATTGCAGGATGTTGAGAATGAGAATAAGCTGCCGTTAGAGCAGGTTAACATTGACACTATCCTGGAGCTGCAGAGAGAGCAGCAGCTTGAACGAGAGGCAGAACAGGAGCGTAAAAAGAAAGCAATGGCAGAAAGGGGCATTCATCCAGATCAAGCCATTGATGACTTTTAGCTTAGTTCTTTATATGGTGTGGACCTTTTGCTGTTGACCGTGAGGATATGTTGGCAGTCATTATCATGTCATGGCTTGTCACTCACACATCATATTAGTCATAGTCACCATGTGGTTACTAGTACTGCTTTCTTGTTGAGTGTACGGGTGCCTGTATTATGTTTCTCTTATAGCATGTTTTTCCATCTCAGATTTGCTCATTGCATTCATTCATGTAAAAAGTAATGGAAATTTGTTTTAGCTTTATGTTTACATCTCCATTATTTGTAAACATTTGTTGCATGGTGTTCAGTTCATGTGAATAAACCAAGATAGTATGTACATTCTTATGTCGGTATATTGAATGTTTTCTTTTTCTACAGCTCCTTCCCTCAACAACAAAAATTTAGTTATTGTATTATCTATGATTAATGATGATGTGGAAAAAAAGAGATGAAAAACTGTAAACTAAACAAAGATATTCTAAGAGAGGATAAAGACATTCAGGAGCAATTTAGAGTGATTGTGAGGAACAGGTACAGCGCAATACCAAAAATACACACGATAAACAATCAGTGGGAAATACTGAAAGAGTCTATCCATCAAACAAGCAAATAGGTTTTACCAGAAAGAAGACAAATAGCTAAACAGAAATAGATGACCAAAGAAATTTTAAAGTTAATCGGTGACAGAAAACAGTGTGTGAATGACAAAGAAGAATATGACAGAATAACTAAAGAAATAAAGCATAAGTGTGAGAAGGCAAAAGAAGAGTGGCTAAATGAACAATGCAGTAAAATTGAACACAGTCCTGTTAAAGATGCACAAAGTGTGTACAAACAAATTAACGATCTAACTGGAAGAAAGAAATGAGTATGTCTGAAATCAAAACCAGGAGAGATCTTAATGAAGGAAGCTGATATAATAACTAGATGGAATGAATACATAAGAGAGTTATATGGTTGAAAGAGAGCAGAATTACCAGAAGAAAGAAATTTAGAAGGTTCGTCTGTACTAAAGGAAGAAGTTAGCAATGCTATCAAACAAATTAAGAAAGGAAAGTCAACTGGGTCAGATGAAATTTCTGTTGAAAAATTAGAAGTACTGGTGGAATTTGGGGTAGAAATATTAACTAAACTGATGAATGACATTTATAACACTAGGTACATTCCAAATGAAATCTGTATTTATTGCGTTACCCAAAAGACCAGGAGCAATTGAGAATGAAGAAATTCGTACAGTCATTTAAATCACCAAATTACTACTTATAATTAATTATAAGTAGAAAAACAAAAAGAAAAATAAGAATGGAAATGAGTGACGAGCAGTATGGATTTATGGAAGGTAAAGGGACAAGTAATGCAATTTACATATTACAAAAACTGATAAAAAGATCAATGGACATATAAAAGGACTTATATTTGGGCTTTATAGATTATATCAAAGCATTTGACAAAGTTAAACATGAAGAGGTGATACAAATGTTGGAAGACATCAATGTAGAAGGGAAAAATCTCAGAATAATTAAAAACATATACTGGAACAAAGTAGCAGCAATTAAAGTGGGAAACAGATTGGGTACTTTTGAATAGATAAAGCAAGGAGTAAGACAGGGATGTGTCTTATCCCCAGTTCTCTCTATATAGATAATTTTGAGGGAAATTAAAGAGAATGCAGGAGTAAGAGTTGGAGGATATAATATACATAATTTGCGTTATCCTTACGATAGTTTTGATAGCTGAAAATGCAAGTGATTTACAACAAATGCTGGATATTGTGGGGATGGAGAGTGCTAAGAAAGGACTTTCATTGAATATTAAGAAAACGGAAGTAATGGTTAAATCAAAGAAAAAGACAACTCCACGTTGTGATATCTCAGTTGAAGGAAAAAGACTTAACCAAATCAATAAATTCAAATATTTGGCGACAATCATATCATCTGATGGAAAATATGTGACAGAGATTAAAAGCAGGATAGGTCAAGCAAAAGCTGCATTCAAAAAAATATCTTATGCAAGAAATTGCTCTCATTTAATGTCAGAAAGAGGGTGCTAAATGTTACATAGAACCTGTTCTGGTGTATGGCAACAAATCTTGGAATGTCATAAACAAATAAGGAAGAATTTTGAAGCAACATAGATGTGGTTTCAAACGATCGACTGGAAGAAGCCTGTATAAATGCACATAGTGTTGTGAAAGAGAAAGTTTTGAAGACTCATTTCAGTCGACTTTGGGTGATGATGACTAAATGTTTAAAGGTTTATCAATAGTATATCCCAGAAAAGTGAAGGTATGGTGAGAAAGACAGTATGAATATCATAAGTGCTTAAAAGTCAAATAAATACATGAACAAATTCATTGTTTGAATTATAGACGCAATATACTCCAGTTATAGCCCAGAAGTCTGCTGTAGTCATGAGTTGTAGAAGGAGTGAGCACCAGCTACAGATAAATATTTATATAGCACACATTTGCATAAAAAATGTAGTATAAGTCGTTACACTGGGGTTTTCACATTTGCCTCTTAAGGAGTCATATTTTTACCGACAGTTAAAAGAACGACAAGCCCATTGGCAAGGCAGGTCAGATCCAGATATTTCAGGCCTGAGAATAATTTCTCTAATAAATATCCTTTTAACAGGATATTGGTTGGTGATTGAATTTTCACCTAATAAGAGGCTCAATATAATGACCAGTCACAGTTTTAACCTGTCAAATGGCAATGCACAAACTTATGTAGACCTGGAGGAAAACTAGCATAAATTGTTAGCTTTTTTCACCCTATGAATTTCAAAATATGAGACAAGAAAAGTTCTCATTCTAGCCACAAAAACAGTTGGCTTCTTGAGAAATGTTACAAGTGCTGGCAAATAGTGATAATAAAAGCCTCCTTCGTCTATATCTGAAGTGCTGTGCCGTATAAGAACGAAGCTGCAAACACATTGTATAGGATTCCTTTCTAATCTGCCATAGTGGTCTCTGTTCAACAAAGGTTTAAAAAGGCTCCTTACAGTTCCTCCCCTTTAATTTTGTTCAGAATTCTCCACTGAGATTATGTCTGCCCATTTTTATGTCTCGTCTGCATCTTTGAATTGTTGCTGTTGTTGGCCAATTTTTATATATTCTGCTCGCCAACTGCAAAATGCAGAATGTCGTTTGAATATTTTCTTCTGGCATGCCTTTGGAGGAAGAAGGGTATATGACCACAAAACAAAGAAAGAAAATGAACCACACCAAAAAGTAGAGATACTAGAGGCAGAAAGAGAAATCACGGATGAGAGACGGAACCATCCCAAGACAAGCTCTATAAAGGACCAGTTTTTTTCTAGACCTAGAAAAATCTCCCAACAGCAGCAGAGACCTCACAGCCCAGGACCCCAACAGACCAGGCTGGCCAACAAAAATTAGAAAGCACAATATAAAGCCACAAAGAAAGAATCAAGTCAAGAAAGATGCAAAGACAACCAGCACAAAAATAACCAAAGCTACAAGCGGGTTGAAAGTAGTTAAATAAAAATTTGACCCAAAGTTAGATATTTTTTAATAGAGCTACACACTTTCATTCATTTTGTCTCAGCTAAATTCTCTCCTGCAGCCCTTCCTGTAATTTATCGTGGATTGCAATTACCTTCTCTCTTCTTTTTCTTTCGTTATCTCACTTTTACTGGGTTGTAAACCAGTGTTGTGGTTTCCTTTATTTGCTGTGCGCTTCTTGGGTGGCTTGAGTGATGGTTTTGTTCAACTTTTTGCAGATTTCATCTACACCATTTATCCATCTCTTTCTTGGTCTTCTCCTTCCTCCCAGATTTTCTACTGTAAAAAGTCTCATATGCAGTCTGGTTTGGTCTGGTTGTATTCTCACTAGATGGCTGAACCATTTAATTCTTTGTCAATATAATTCAGACATGGTCTTATTCCAACTTTCTCTCTAATGGTGGTATTCGTAACCCTGTCTTGTATAGTGTAGTTAGTGTCCTTGCAGAGACGGTGCATTTCACATGTAGTTATTTTCTGTTCTAGTGCCCTGTCCATGTTTTGCACTGATAATATAAAGAAGGGATACATTTGCAAATTATCATTTGCTGTTTTTGCTGAAAGGAAGACATTTGGGTGTCTATGCAGTGGAGCTAACTGGTAGGTGACAGCATTTGCCTTCTGTTCTCTGGCTTCTATCTCTCTTTCAAGTCTGCCATCCTCCATAAATATGCTTCCTGGATATTTGAATTCTCGTATTTGTTTGATTGTAGTACCGTTAAAATGAAGGTTCATGATGTTTCCTGCCTATACTCATTACCTAAGTTTTCATGTGTTTTTTCTCGTCATACTTTGTGCATGCTTGATGTAAGGAGTCAGTATGGTGTTGTAAATTCTGTTCTTGAAGGTGAATTAGACACCATCCTCTGCAAAAAGAAGTTAATTGATTTCTGCAGTCTTTATTTGCCTCCTGTGATATTCTATCAATATAAGTAATGAATAGCAATGGTGAGAGGACACATCTCTGTCTGACACCCGATCAGATGAGAAACCAGTCATTCCTTCTGCTGTTCTTACTGTGCATTGACTATCTTGGTAGAGAGCCATGATGTTACAACAGATGATCTTGAATACCACAGTCTTCTAGAATTTTCCATAGTTTGCATCTGTTGACTCGATCGAATGCCTTCTCTTGATCTATAAATATAAGATGCTGACTTCTGCATATTCAATAGACTGTTCGCAAATCTGTCTTAAAGAAAATACTGCATCTGTACAGCTCTTTCCCTACCTGAAACCGAACTGTCTCTTACTTAACTGGGGCTCTAGTACTGGTCAAGCTCTAAGTTCCAATATTTTTGCAAACATCTTTCCAGTATGGCTTAGGATGGAGATGCCCCTGTGTGTTTCACAGTCTCTTTTGTCCCCTCTATTCTTCCAAATGGGGACAATGATTGCTCTCTGCCAGTCACTTGGAACTTTCCGTGCCTCCCAAGCCATGTTAAAGATTTTGGTTAACCAAGCTGTTGCTGTTGTCTTACATGTAAGGAGCATTTCTGTTGTAGTACCATCTATTCCTGCTGCCTTGTTATTTTTATTTGTCTAAGGGTATTTTCAACTTCAGATTCCAGCATCTTTGGTTCATGGCCTTTTGCAAACTTATTTTGGTTTGGCACTTCATTTGGTGTTCCACAGTTTAGCAGCTCACTGAAATGTTCCTTCCATCTGTCTTTAATATCGTGAGTGCTGGTGAGTGGTTTCTGACTCTTGCTGTTAATAAAAGTGGACAGGGATTAAACTTTTCTTCTCTGTCTCATTGCTTTGACACTTCTATAAAACTTTTGCTTGTGATGTTTATGAAGGGTTCCAGAACAGACAGGAGACAGTTGTGGCAGCACTTGATCTTGAGGATGCCTACAATAGAGTCAGATATGATATTTTGATATCTGCCCTCATGTAGAAGGGGATAGCAGCTGTCCTGCATTCAAGTATGGTTGCCCTTCGCCTGGGTACATGGACCTCAGAACTATGTTTAATAACCCCTAGACTACCCCAATGTTCTGCAATTTCACTGGTGCTCTGTAATGTCTATACAAGCAAGATTGCAGAACTGGAAGCACCAGATGTTGGGAGGATATTGACATTTTCTAATGATGTTCTTAAATATAGCAGGCACAGGAATTATAGCCGAAGAGCTGTAGACAAAGTGACTGATGTGTGCAAAAATGGGGACTGTCATCAGCTCAGAAAAAGTGGCTGTTTTGTGGTGCTCTTTGTCCAATAGAGTTGTAATAGCTGATTTTCCAAGCCTCACAGTTAATAACAGTAACATCAAAAGAGACAACAAACTGAGGTATCTGGGTATCACTTTCGATAGTAGAAGCCTGTCCTATAAGGATCAAGTGGAGGCGGTTGTGGTGAAATACGGTGTAGGGTGTGATTACCTCCCCATAAATAATGTGATCCCACGTCACACATAAATGTGCACCAGCTTTAATATTAGAGTTCAGCCAAGAAGTTGCACATTTGTTCCCACTGAGTGCTGACTGCACGCTGACTTTTTATCAAATAAACAAATGATATTATTAAAAGCTACTCAGCTTGAAATGAGCAGCTGCTGCCAGAAGTTGCTCTGGTACCATGCCACACACTATTGAGCATGTGACCTATAACTGCAACATGCTACGTTGTGTTGACACTAACAAAGATGCTGGAGTGCATGTGTGGGCTAGCCACTATGTGACCAGGGACAGTACAAATTAAATACTGTTGTGAGGAACGGGATACCACGGTTGTGCAGTGCAATGACTAGATGTTAGTCTGCTTGCCTGAACGTGCTTCTAATTTCACATCAATGCTGATTTTTATAATTGAGCTGGGGCACCACGCTGACCTTGTCTAAAATTAAAATGGGTGCCAAGACGTCTTAGGAAATAAATCTGGCTAGCATGTTGGCCACATCACCTAGTGAGAACTGGCCAGTCTAAACAATTCCCAATGTGCCAGTGACATGAAAAATTTAGTTTTTAATGAGAAACAGCAAACTATTTAATTGATAATAAATTAAATCCTTTCTAAAATAAAGAAACAGTTATTAATGGTATTACACAATATGTATTGTTTTTAATAAACGATATCTTGTTTGCATGTTAAAACAAGTTTAAAGTATTAAACAGATGTTGCTGTGCTAACATTTTCAACCATTTAATACAAATATACTGTTTTATCTGTAGCTAAAAATCATAGTAACAAACTGAAGATAGTAATGTCTAATCATGTAATGTAACCATATAAACACCCTTGTTGTTAATTATTATGGCATAAACGGGCTAGGAATTTAAATAAATGAAAACAAGGAAAAATTCTAGCAAATTAAAATATGAAAAACTCATGAAATAAATTGCAGCTTTTATTGAGCTTCAAGCTGTGGCTGTCCCTCCTGAAAATGAAATAATTTTTCTCTAGTGATTTCTAAAACTTAAGACATACATGTCTCCGTAAAAAATGTTATTCAGTCAAATGTGTGATATACCAGCTGATGCATGTGTGATCTACCAGCTGATGCATGTGTGATGTACCAGCTGATGATGCATGTGTGATGTACCAGCTGATGCATGTGTGATGTACCAGCTGATGATGCATGTGTGATGTACCAGCTGATGCATGTGTGATGTACCAGCTGATGATGCATGTGTGATGTACCAGCTGATGCATGTGTGATGTACCAGCTGATGATGCATGTGTGATGTACCAGCCGATGATGCATGTGTGATGTACCAGCCGATGATGCATGTGTGATGTACCAGCCGATGATGCATGTGTGATGTACCAGCTGATGATGCATGTGTGATGTACCAGCTGATGATGCATGTGTGATGTACCAGCTGATAATGCATGTGTGATGTACCAGCTGATGATACATGTGTGATGTACCAGCTGATGATACATGTGTGATCTACCAGCTGATGATGCATGTGTGATGTACCAGCTGATGATGCATGTGTGATGTACCAGCTGATGATGCATGTGTGATGTACCAGCTGATGATGCATGTGTGATGTACCAGCTGATGATGCATGTGTGATGTACCAGCTGATGATGCATGTGTGATGTACCAGCTGATGATGCATGTGTGATCTACCAGCTGATGATGCATGTGTGATGTACCAGCTGATGATGCATGTGTGATGTACCAGCTGATGCATGTGTGATGTACCAGCTGATGATGCATGTGTGATGTACCAGCTGATGATGCATGTGTGATGTACCAGCCGATGATACATGTGTGATGTACCAGCCGATGATGCATGTGTGATGTACCAGCTGATGCATGTGTGATGTACCAGCTGATGATGCATGTGTGATGTACCAGCTGATGATGCATGTGTGATCTACCAGCTGATGATACATGTGTGATGTACCAGCTGATGCATGTGTGATCTACCAGCTGATGCATGTGTGATGTACCAGCTGATGATACATGTGTGATCTACCAGCTGATGATACATGTGTGATGTACCAGCTGATGATGCATGTGTGATCTACCAGCTGATGCATGTGTGATGTACCAGCTGATGATGCATGTGTGATCTACCAGCTGATGCATGTGTGATGTACCAGCTGATGATGCATGTGTGATGTACCAGCTGATACATGTGTGATCTAGCAGCTGATGCATGTGTGATCTACCAGCTGATGCATGTGTGATGTACCAGCTGATGATGCATGTGTGATGTACCAGCTGATGATGCATGTGTGATGTACCAGCTGATGATGCATGTGTGATGTACCAGCTGATGCATGTGTGATCTACCAGCTGATGCATGTGTGATGTACCAGCTGATGCATGTGTGATGTACCAGCTGATGATGCATGTGTGATGTACCAGCTGATGATGCATGTGTGATTTACCAGCTGATGCATGTGTGATGTACCAGCTGATGATGCATGTGTGATGTACCAGCTGATGCATGAAAATATGGGGGTGACTGCAGTTAAGCTTTTACAAGGAATTCCAGAAAAATGTGACTAAAAAAATTTGTTGAGCTTTTTAGTCAAATTTTTCTGGAATTTCAGCTGATGCATGTGTGATGTACCAGCTGATGCATGTGTGATCTACCAGCTTATGCACAGATTCACAGTTAGCAGCAGAAAACTCTGCTTGCTGAAATGACCTGGTGATGTTCATATTTGATGCAGCATGTCTTCACAATTGAGATGATGATCAACTAGACATCTACTTACTTAGTCAAATCTCTTGCAGTGTTTCTCATAAACAATGACAGCTGATACAAAATAGCTGCTGATGTAACATCTTATTATCTGTTTAGTCTACAAAATGTTCTGTTTATTGACAATATACAAAACATTAAAAAAAAAAAAAAATTCTCAAGCAGAAATGACCAGATAAATATCTTAAAGCATAAGAAAATGAAGAGTTTCCAGCAACTGTTATTTTAAGACTTCTCTTGACTGAGGTTCTCCAAGAACTGTACAAGGGTTCTGGTAGGACGACCTGAAATCAGAGAGACGTGTTGAAAATAAAAACATCAAGTAATGAGATACATAAGTACTTCTTTCTGGAAACTAGAGGGGCTGCGTGGTCTCGAGGCATGGTGTCCGCGCCGAGTGCTAGAAGTTCCAGGTTTAATCCCTGGTAAGAGCTGGGATTTTTTTAATGTGGACTTGGACTTCTAGTAACTCCCCCTGGTCTCTGGGTAGTCAGGTCAGACGCCCGTGTGCATTGTTGCGCACGTAAAAAAATCCCTTGGCAGTTGGAAATCGAAAAGAGAAGCCTAACGGCACTGCCAGGGCAAACATTTGGAGTTCAAAATATATCCAAAGTATTTCAGGATCCTCGCTGGTGCCACAATTCCTGTGTGAACTATACATAAACTCTATTTCAGAATGCTAATATATAATATAATAAAGTAAATCATCATCGTCAAGTGCCTTGCCGACTGGCGTGTGCGATTATGTGTTTCCACAATCTGCGATTGGCAGCTGCATGTATCAATTCGTGCGTTGACACCACTCCATGCCATGACAAAAGGGTGTCAAGAATCTTCTCGCCTTGTCTTCCTCTGTCTCCCTTTCCACAGATTTTTCCAGTGGTCACAACATGTTCCATTTTTGCTCTTCTCATAACATGACAAAAAATAATGACTGTCTTTTTCTGATGCTTGTGCTAAGTTGTTTCAGAGCACTCGCCTCTTTCAAAACATCCGGGATGCTCTTCTTAGCTGTCCAAGGAATTCTAAGGATTCTTCTGTAAAGCCACATCTCTGATGCCTCAAGTTATTGTTTGGCTTGTTTATTAATTGTCCAGAATTCACAGCAGTATGTTAAAACTGGCTCTAAATAGCATGCAAGAATTCTTTTCCTAACCTCCAATCATCATCATAAACCACTTTTGCCGATAAGCATCGTAGGGAGGAATTATATGTGGTCCTGTGCACATTGGCTGCCACTGGCTATTGTCATGCCGTGAAGGCGTAGAGTGTCTTTAATGTTGTCGATCCAAGTTTTCCGTGGCTGTCCTCTTGCTCTTGCAGCTGATCTTCTGGAGTGTAGTGCTTGTGATGGTATTTGATCTTGCTGCATTCTAACGAGATGGCAAAACCACTTGATCTGCTGTTTCTCGATGAATCTAGTACAAGGTGTCATTCCCACAATTTGCCTGATAGTTTCATTTTTCACTCAATCTCGGATGGTTACGTTGGCTGCTTTTCTCAGGCACCTCATCTCGCAGGTGGTGATTTTGCATATACGGGCTTTATATAGTATCCATGTTTGGCACTGGTAGCTTAATGTTGGAATGAATATGCTATTAATAATCTGTCTCTTTGTACTCATAGTTATGCTTGGATGTCTTAAAAATGGTGACAGTTGGTATATAAGTGCACTTGCTTTCTGACATCTGGTTTCTATTTCTCCATCAATTCTACCAGCTTCTGTGATCATACTTCCTAGATATTTAAACTCCCTAACTTGATTCAGAGCAAAACCATTAGGCTGTATGTTTAGTGGGGCAGGGGTTCTACTAACTTGCATTGTTTCAGTTTTGTTTATATTGATTTTCATGTTGTATTTACTGCATGCTGAGTTTAATCTGTTCATGTGGTCTTGCAGTCTATCTTCTTCAGGGTAGAACAAGCACTTGTCGTCAGCAAATAGTAGTTCATTTAATGTGGGTGAATCGATAACTTCTCCTGATGTGTGTACTTCCTCATGATTATAAAGGTCTGTGTTGTCTGTATCAGAATTTGCTTCTTTAGATATTCTGTCTATATAGATGTTAAATAAAAGTGGGGAGAGCACACATCCCTGTCTCACACCTGTGTTGACTGTGAACATATCTGATATGCCTTCTTGTGTTCTTACTGCACTTTGGCTTGTGTGGTACATGGCTATGATGTTTTCTAGTAACTGTCCTTGAATCCTGTAGTTCTCAAGAACAGCCTACAGTTTGTTTCTTTCCACTCTATCAAAAGCCTTTTAAAAACCTCAAATGACATGGATTTATTGCCTAAAATGTTCTTCCTTTTATAAAATGCAGTTTTGGCTTGTCCTATTCCTTTAATAAAGAAATTCAAAAACTGTTACATGTTGAATACAAATACACATCCTTACTAACTACTTGGGGTCAAAGCAGTGGAGACAGATACACCTTTGGCTTGTTCCAGTCTCTAGTTACTAATCATTTCTTTTAGCTTGCTCCTTCAGTCATAATCCAGTTGTCTCTGTCTGTTATGACCAATTTCTTATTCTTATCTATGACTTTGTTTCTGCAATAAAGATGTAGTCATGATTCATCTGAAGTATAAAGTTACTGAAATATTTATATTAGAATTTATGCACAAGAAATTATCAAAGATAAATAAGTTCTAAATTATTATTTTCTTTTTTAAAAACAGTTTCAGCTCAACCACAATTCTTTTTCTGCTCTCTTGGAGCATGAACCTTCAGCTGGCTCATGCCAGGACATCCTATCTTGGGTCATTTCCTGCAGTGACCGCTCCCCTATATATTTCTCTCTGTATCATTCTTTTTTTATATGTATTACTTGTTTGCTTTTGTCCTGGAAGGTTCCAGAGAAAGAAAACAATTTCTAATTATACTATTAACATGTGTTCTATCCAGTATTTCCTCATGTCATTCACTGAAATGATATTTCTCTCCACATGCTCCACATTAGTGACATACCATTCTCTGGTCTTCCTCTGCTCAAAACAGACACAAGTTAAAATACGGAAACTGGTAACAAACCTGACATTCCTTTACCAAGATAAGGGACTTCATCAGTGTTCGACATGACACCTGCCATGTCCAGGTGAACCCACTGGTCAGTTTTTACAAACTCCTAGATTAAAAGATTTAAAAAAAAATAGTTTGCACCGATAAATATAATAACTCATTCATTATAAAGTTAATAAAAACTGAGTGTTTAAAAGATTTCCAATTTGTTAGATATGGCGTGCTTAGATTCTGTTAATTTAGATTGTTAGATATGGCATGCTTTGATTCTGTTAGTTTAGATTTCTCAAACTGGACTATATCTCTCCAGCAGACACAGTTAGGTGAGGCAGGTTTTCACAAATTTTAAACAGGCTATCCTCATCTATGAGTGCCTGTTGGCATACAAGTGAAACCTTTCCTTTTGTGATGAAATGTAACTTCAGGCTGTGAAGATCCAGCCTGCCACAATATTCTTTTTTTTTTTGTGTGTTTGGGCAAACATGACCACTGGGCTGACAGGCAGGCAAGTCACTGAACTACTATAAATATGGCAGTCTTCAATGAGAACATGTGATGGGAAGAATATTATCTGCAAGGCAACACCTTTGCAAACAAACAAGACTTTTTTTCACCTGTGATGTGTCTAAAGGTCCCCATACATGTTCAGAAATCTGCTGTAGCCATAGACTTAGCAAATCCTGTATTACAAGAGGGTCTCTTTAAATGGATCTTTTTGCTTTATTTAAAACATCAACAGCATCCTCGCAGGAGTCGTTACAATGGCCTAAAGGCTTATATGGGAAAGGTCGGTTGAGAGAGGGAGGGTCATATTATCACATACTAGAGAACATGACAGGTGGAGAATAAACGTAGAAGTGAACTGGTTGCCATTCTGTGTCATCATATTTTCAATCAATAAGTGAAATGGCAGATGGTAAAGCAATGGACTTGGCACTGAAGTCAGTCTGGTGAGCATAAGTGAAATGGCAGATGGTAAAGCAATGGTCTTGGCACTGAAGACAGTCTGATGAGCATAACTGAAATGGCAGATGGTAAAGCAATGGTCTTGGCACTGAAGACAGTCTGATGAGCATAACTGAAATGGCAGATGGTAAAGCAATGGACTTGGCACTGAAGTCAGTCTGGTGAGCATAAGTGAAATGGCAGATGGTAAAGCAATGGACATGGCACTGAAGACAGTCTGGTGAGCATAAGTGAAATGGCAGATGGTAAAGAAATGGACAGGGGCTGATGTCCTGAATGCTGCTAACAATATGGGCAGATTGGGGACTCTTGGAGTAACCAATATCATGGAAACATATAAAACTGAACTAAAAGTAGATCAGCGAGCTTCGCAGTAAAACAAACACAGACAAAACGTGAACGTTGAGGCTACAGAGGCTTCATCAGCATATACAAGAATTTAACAAAACCACACAAATTCTTCTTCTATAAGACGGAGTGAAACATTTTTTGTCAAAAATAATGTTCATTATAAAACAAATGTATCATTAACCAACACAGAATTGCAAATATCAGTCACTGTGTGTGGACAGATATACAAAGGAAGTGACCTAATGCCTACGGACTTGTTTTCCATATCACTGAAAATGATACAGTTTGTAACTTTATAAACAAATCATGTTCGGTGAGTTTATGTCCATCTTATGCAAGCAAATGTGTAGAATTAATTTAATCTATTAAAAACAATATGTTGAATAAATGCAGCAATATTCGTTTTTATTTTAAAAATAATATTTACTTAATGACATATATAAACAGTGATAGTTTTTAAGTATTCTGTAAATCACTTATGTTCATTCAATAAACACATTTCCCAGAGAGAAAGCTCCCCATCTTTCTCTCCTCACTAGCAGAAAAACAAAAAACAATGAAACTCAAACTTGTAAAGAACAAACAGCATTCCCATTTTCAGGAAAGGGAACTGAAACATGAATATTACAAATTATGCAAGCAAATGCAACACTTCTCATGGCTGACCCAAAAAAAAAAATATATATATATATATATATATATATACATACAATGGCTCGTCAATGTGAAGCATCTATTAAAAAAAAACAAAAAATATTTCGTTAAGTTGAATAAACATCCTCTTGCACGACTGACATACCTGAAGAAAAGCAGCAGCTGTACAACTGCCTGCCTGTCGTTTCTTGCCAATGTTGTTGAGGTCTGCCAGGTCAGCGTCTGTCATCTGGCTGGTGTAATACTTGAACAAGGGCATCCTCCACACACGGTCACCGGTCACTGCCCCAGCCTACACACAAACAATAACAAATGAGGGTGACTATATCCTACAAGACTGACACATATAAGACAATATTTGCTGAGATCAAAATGATTTCTTCAATGTTCTGTTCTGTACACACTTGCATCGCTTCAGAGGTCGGTCCCATTTGGTTAGTAACCTTCGGATGTTTTCTCCAGGCACAGTGGAAGCCTATAACTGAGAATCAATATATTCAGCAATGTGTGTGCATTAATATCTGCTTTAATTTTGGTTGAGTTTTTCTGTAACTGTTTAAATGCTTCAATTAAGTTTTCAGAGTCCTGTCTAAATCAAACATGCGGGTCATATTTCAATTTCAATAGGGGCCACTGATCTCTCACAGATTATCTGCGCCAGGGCACACAGTACACCTACCACTAGGGTAGAACATGTCATGTATGCTAACAATCATGCATGTGACCAACAAAGAGGTTGCAGAGCGTATACACTGAATTCCATAAAACAATTCTACAATGCCTGACACCGTCCTCAACCAGTAGATGGATTCTGCATCATGACAGTGCTTCTGCTCAGATCTGTCACCACAAATGTTTTGGTGAAAAACATTCCATGACTTCTATACGCTTTGGATCAGTGGCTTTCAACCGATGCGTCACAACCTTTTTTGAGGGTTGAACCACCCTTTCATAGGGGTTGCCTAAGACCATCGGAAAACAGATATTCACTGAAATTTTGGATTTCCAATGAAAATAATGTTATGGCTGGGGGTCAGCACAAGACAAGAAACTGTATGAAAGGGTTGGAGCCAAATGATGGCTGAGAACCACTGCTCTAGATCATGCTCAGTATGACATCTTGTTTCCCAATGTAAGAAGGTTATGAAAGGCTGCTGATTCTATGACATTAAAGAGATTCAAGCCACTGTGATGGCAACTGGCGGCTATAAACTATAGTGATTATAAAAGAGGCTTCCTTCATTGGCAATAATTGTAAATAATTAAAAGGGAACAACTGAAAATAATTCAGTTCCATAACCTAGTATCAGCAGCCCTTATAAACGTTTGACAAAATTATTTTGTTCACATGGTACTTACCAAGCTGCATACTGGTAAGACATGAAACATAAGCTGAAATCAAAATAGATTCTTACTTTGTTTAGCTTTTCCCAAATGTTTTGTGATTTCGTATAAGCAGCAGTGGCAACTCCACCTAAGGCAACAACAACAGCTCCTGCAAAAGAAACAGCTCTGACTAATGTAAATATTGTAAAGACAATCTAAACTGTATTTGGACAGAACAAACTGACTATTTAGACATCTGAACTCCAATAAGGACAGTCAGCAAGCAAATGGCTGCCTTTCACAGCATGAGGTGTATTAGGTAGATAGTGCTAACTGCATATGTTTAGACCAGCTGACATTCAATAAGTGTTATGATCAATATGACAGGTCAAGAAAATCTGCTTCTCTCCATCTAAGATTGGTTGATTTGGCAGTCCTGGTAAACTGGAGCCTTGCTGCTTGTAAAGAAAATTCAAATACATGCCCACTGGACTGGCAGGTCAGCGTGCTAGCCACCATGGCTTTCTCTGAAAGGACAATTTAAAAGCAGACATAAAATTTAAAAGAAAAAAAAATTAACTAATAAAGCTATCTGTGATATATGTTTACACAAACAGTACACATATTCCACATTTGAATGTTTCAAGCTGCTTAAGGTGGCAAGTTATTTCATTTGTTGGAAAGAGTGATACGTTGATTCTGCACTGGCTGCTGAAGATGAGGACAGAGCATGCATCAGAATGCCTCAAGTGCTGTGATTTCAATTCTTGACTAAACTCAACTTTGATTACAGAACAATATAATACAAACCAGTTAGTGTTGCAATGTCCAGTATCAGTCTTGGCTGAAATGTTTCCGCATAGCAAAGGGCATCAGCTAGAACCAGGCGACCCTCAGCATCAGTATTGTCCACCTATATGCCAGAAAAAGTTGTTTTACTAATGACTTCAATATAATCATCCTAATACTAAAATGTGAATCACCTATCAAAAAATACCCTGCATACTTATGTGTGAATAGTCATTTGAAATATATGGAAAAAAAACGTGTACACTAACACTAACAGCTTTAATAACATTAACTGTTGTGCCAAACATGGACACTTACATCCTCTAATGAATGTAAAATTGTGACAACAGGGATGAAATGCCTTAGAAGAGCTGCAGGAGTTTCAAGGAAAGACAATACGAAATCAGACGATGCTAGGAATAAAGCCAGTCTTACAAGTCATCAAAGAACAACAAATGAAGTGGTTTGGGCACCTAACAAAAATGCCCTGGTAATATCTACCACAGCGAGCACTGAAACCTTACAACGGGTAAAGAGCAAGCAGAAGACCTCAGAAAATATGGAGTGATGGCATTAAAAACAGCCCTACAGAAATGAATATCAATCTTAATACTGCTCTTGACAGAGCTCATCAACAAACATTACAACTTTCCCTGACACTTGACTGAGGTACAAGGTGAAAGAGAAGAAGAAGAAGAAGAAGAAGAAGAACTGTTCCAGCCGAACAGGCCTAATGAGGGATTAAGTATGAAAAGCACAAGAGCATCCCTGTTACACTGACTAAATGCATTGTAAAATAACTAGACAGCATGAACTGGAAAACTCACAAAGGAAAAAACAGGCACAAATACAACCAAACATTTTGACCAGACTTTTAACAATGGAAAAATAACAACAGAATAATTAACAGTCATTTAGTCAACAGGCTATCCTCAATGTACATCAAACAATTCAATCGGTAAGTGCTAGACCCCCCCCCTCCTGCCCCACCCCCCACTCCTCAGTGAATCCTGCATCATGAAACGGCTGACAACACTAGTCCCATGTTGATTTCTTATTCTTCTTTGGCTTCCTGCATAGTGATCTTGTCTGGCCACGCCCCTTTTAACATGCAGTCTGGTTGAGGTTGCAAATTCAGTCATCACTTAGTTCTCGTCTTACTTCATTGTATTAGTCTGGTCCATGGCACTGTAACGTGCATAGGCTTGATTGATTGTGACGAGCCTAAAAGTGACTAGGGGCGTCGCAATGTAACAAATGGCATCAACACTTAACATGCCACTGGCCAAGAGTAACACAACATGATGAATGCTGAAGCTTCCAAACGTAGCGGAACGAGAACTCTTTTTAAAGTTCCATTTGTGTATTGACAATAACGATGATCAACACAAGGAGAAAATGTGCAGTTACTAATCAAGATTCATTCAACCAAAGCTCGCTCGTACATCCATGGACTGATATGTCCTCACGATAGGTTGCAGTCCGACCTTGAGATCCAGACAATCATCTTTGTATTCAGTTCATCCGTCTGAATTAAATAATGAAGGTATACCGGCTTACTGCCGAAATGCAACGTTCACCAGCTTCCTGCTGAGGTCTATCTTGGAGTCCCGGGGTAAAACGTCCTCAAGGATCCAACTTTATATAACGTTTGCTTCCGTGGGATCCCGGGGTAAAGCGTCCTCAAGGATCCACACGTCCGTCTCCTTCGGACTATAAACATCAACTGCCTTTGACAACAATACCTTCACAACGTTACGTATTGTTTTGACGTCTTATTTGCTCACTCCGTACCGGTGCGTTCTAGTGCACATTCGCACGCGACAGGCACGTCCACCCTCCACAGTAGCTTTACCTTTACATGCTTATTTGGGAGGCAGTTAGTCTATTCTTGTTTTCCAAGCACCAAAATCCTGCTTCACAATTCTAATTCCAATCAAAGCAGTAAAAGCCCATAAGCTTATCTGGCAAACAAACCACAGACCCATCGGTGTAAATGACAGTGTCCCCCTTTAGAGAATTCACAACAATCAAAACTTGCACTTCTTCCTCCACAGTGGTCAGACTTTGTTGCCTTCATTTTCTGCTTAGTCGGATGCAAACAGAAAAAGTTGTACAGCGCTCATACCTATTCCTTACAGGTTTTATGCCCTCAACTGAAAACACCTGGTGAATAATGTCCTGAGTGTGACCCATCCAAGATTTTCCTCCTTTAAACCTGCTGCCTTGCTTTTGATCAATTTTTATTTTTATTGTATAATCAGACTAATCATTAAATAACAGCCAAGGTTAATAAGAAACCAGTACAATTATATAGTAAAAATACTTCAGGAAGAGCTTATACAAAATAAAGCATATAAGAAAGATTGGGAAATGCACAAATATTAATTTAGAATTAAATAACAGTACCCTAAATTTAAAGGCTGAGAAGTGGCTGGTTTGATGCCCAGAGCATTTTATGACAGCAAAAGAAATGTCAACTTCACCTTGGTGGTTAGAACTATTATGAAGGAGGCTGGCTTAAGGGCTACGTTGTAAATATACATAAATCTTTGCTGAAAAAGAGAATAAAGAAATCAGTATAATGTAACTATGTTCTCTGAGGAGATTTTAAAATGAGAAAAAAAAAAGCAAATTACATCTTGAAGACACTGAAACTTCATGGAATATGACTGCTGTGCATAATGGAACAAACAGCACTTTGTACCTGTATTGTTTTGCCATTCATAGCTCTGACTACATCTCCAGGCTTGGTGGCTTTTCCACTTGGTAAATTCTCACACAACGGGATCAGACCTGAGCAGGATTATTCAAACCAAATTAACTAGTGCAAATTAGGAATAAAATCCTAATAAATTATATATACTGGCAGTCCTACCAAGTGGCTTCTCACTTCCCTGTGGGTACAAACAGTAAAGTTAATGAGCCCTTTCTTTGCTACAACATGTTTAGGGTATATGGTATAAAAGTAACATATTCTGTTGTCCCGTACAATCATTTCATAACTGTGCATGTCTTATGTGTTCTCTCTGAAATGTAGTAAGGCCTTGTGAATGTAAAAACTGCAACTGTATGCGTTTTGGTTCATGTATTTGTGGTGGGGGTGGGGGATGCAGTTTCCAGAAAATAAGGCACAGGCAGGAACGGCTGGAGAACTGGCTAGAGACAGAGATTTGCAGCAGTACCACAAAGACAGTGACATTCTATAAAGGACTGCTGATTGATGACAATTTATGTACTCATGTCAGCTTTTTTTTGGTCACACCCTGGTGGTATTACCTGATCTACGAGTGTTCACATCACTGCAGCGCTACCTAAGCTGTTTCAATATTATTACAGTAAACCTCGTTAACACAAATTCCAAGGACCCCCCCAATCCCCTCCCCCCCCCCCCCCCCAAAAAAAAAACAAGTTGGTGTTGAACACACAAAAAGTCTGTTAACTGGGATTAATTAATAATAATAATAATACATCCATGTTAAGGCAACAAATATGTTCATGCTAACCAAATGTTATTCTTAAGCTAGTTCACATTCTCTGCAGGCAGCTAGCCATTCTGAGCCATAAGGGATAAAACCCAGTGCAATTAAGTCAATCCTCTCACCTTTAAAAGCTAAGTTGCTGAATCTGATGTCAGATCAGCTCAAGATCAGCTCTATACAAAGTTGAAACTTTGCCAGAAACAGAAGCTGCCACTGAGGTGTGACACATTCTAGGCCACAACATAGCTCTAGCCCCCTTCCTCGTCATCTTTTCTTCCTTAGAAAATTTGGGCAATTATCTGGTACTCATTTAAATGAGGCTGAGTCGGCCTCAACCTCAGAGCTAAACTGGTTAGGAAGAATCCTACCACTTCTACCTGCTGTATATTATCACTATCCAAAGTCAGAAACAATTTAATCTTATTTAGCTTACATTAACAACATTTAGTGACAATACCTTTCACATTAATAGGAATGCCTAATATAGCAGCCACCTGAATGCTACTTGCGACACAAGCTGCTCCACCCATATCTGCTCTCATTTTATCCATGTCACTTGCTGGTTTGATAGAAATGCCACCACTGAAATGTTTCAAAATAATAATGACTGACAGAAGTTTACAGCATGAAGACTCATTCAACACAAAGTACAAATTGTGTTATATAATTGAAACAATGACTCTACTCTCACAGTACTGACCCATTAACAAATATGAGGAAGACTCAATCAGTTTTAACAGTGCATTAACTAATCAATGTAGTGTCAGGTAAATGTTTTTATTGTGTTTGTGTGCTAAATATGATTCACAAGTTTTAAAAGGTGAAAAATGGTTCTGTCAAATCTAAAAGTGAAACAAAATTTACAACAAAACTGCTACAGAATGTTGACAATACCTGGCAACAAGCGATAGCAGTAAAGGATTGTGCAAGACAACAAGTCTTCAATACTGACGTGCTTAGGGTGTTTTCTTATTCTTCTGCCTTTTGTGCGTAGTGGAGCATAGGCCTTCAAACAAATCATACCAACATATTCGGTTTTCCTTTTCTACCTCTAACAGCTAACTGGTAATGTCCTCCCCATATTAGTCATATCTTATATGTATGGTCTTTTATTTCTTTTACTCTGTGGATTTCACTGTATGGACAATCTAGTTGTACAATTACCATGTTTTTTCAATTTATGTTACTTGCGCTTAAATCATTGGACTTTGTCTAGAAGCTTCACATTATCAATCTCTTTGTGGTGTTGATCTCCTATGGTATTATTAAAGTGATGTTGCTTTCTATGGAACACTATCTGCATCTGCTGATGTTCAAGACGTGTGAGCAGTTTCAATGGTTGCTTTTTCAATTAAGTATAATACTGCCATTTTGTGTTCTGTCAATTTTTTATGCATTTGCTCTTTTCTTGACACATGAAATATTTTATTTCTATAAAATGTGTTTCTCTCCTCTTGTTAATAATGCTTAGTGGGCAGAACATTAGGACAATGTTATTTTTGGTTTCCAGTGCCACAGTAAAAGAGAGCAAAATCTCACTGTCATTTTGCATGAGGACAACATCAACAGATGCCTAAGTGATGCAGATATAGAACCACTGGATATCAGAAACAAATGGCGGCAATTGAAACAGTAGAATTAGGTTAAAGTGACCGACTTCATTGTATTAGGCTTTATCCTATATGGCTCGGTCTCTCTCCACAGAATAGCTAGCCGCCTGCTGAGAGCATAAAGCATTAACACTGTAGGTCCAACAACAATCCCAGGGGTCCCTATATAAACTGCGCTCATGAACTGAATAACATTGCGGTAAAATGTACCCACAACCTTCAGGGTGCAAGGCTAACAGCTTGACAACTTCATCACAGAGAACCTGAGCAGCAGAAAGATTCAGGCATTGGTCTTAAGATCATCCTGAGAAAAATACTGAAATACAAATCCTCACTATATTTAGTGCAAGATCTAAGATCAAACATCATCTACCAGAATACAGCCAGGAATTCAGACACGTTTTTGACTACCCACCAAATGCAACTTTCAAACTACCCCAGATAAATAGTCCACAAATTATTCCCTCAGTAAACACGTCAGCAGATACCCCCAGATAAATAGCCCATAAATGAATCCCTCAGTAAACACATCAGCAGACTAGCCCAGATAAATATCCCATAAATTATTCCCTCAGTAAACACGTCAACAGATACCCCAGATAAATAGCCCATAAATGAATCCCTCAGTAAACACATCAGCAGACTAGCCCAGATAAATATCCCATAAATTATTCCCTCAGTAAACACGTCAACAGATACCCCAGATAAATAGCCCATAAATGAATCCCTCAGTAAACAGACTAGCCCAGATAAATAGCCCATAAATGAATCCCTCAGTAAACAAGTCAGCAGACTAGCCCAGATAAATAGCCCATAAATGAATCCCTCAGTAAACAAGTAAGCAAACTACACCAAATAAATAGCCCATAAATGAATCCCTCAGTAAACAAGTAAACAAACTACACCAAATAAATAGCCCATAAATGAATCCCTCAGTAAACAAGTAAACAAACTACACCAAATAAATAGCCCATAAATGAATCCCTCAGTAAACAAGTAAGCAAACTACACCAAATAAATAGCCCATAAATGAATCCTTCAGTAAATACGTCAGCAGATTTAGCACTCACATTTTATTTTTATTAGAAACAAGTGACCTCTAAAGACTGAACCATGGATCAGCCTTCAAGGCTTCAATAAATATCTTATAGCTTTCTGCATTATATTGGCTTTACTGCTTCAACTATGATGCATGCTATCAGAATGTATTTCACTTATGACTTCTAAATACGCAAACCTTGGTTGCACATCCACAGAATCTGCCATCTTCTATGATTCTCTTTCCATGCTTCAAGGTCTCATAAACTTAATTCCATCAAGTGAAAAAAATATTATAAAGACACAACCAACATACTTAGGGCCATAAAATAGCCTGTATCTCTTAGGACATCAAGATAACCCTTCAAGGATACCAGCCAAGCAGTGTCGAGAAACTAGCAAACACATCACCCAAGAATCACAAAACATTAACAACTGCACACAGCAATGAATGGACAGTTATGTTACTGGTAAAACTACAAGAACCTTTTATGTTCTACATTTTTACAGCTTGGCATGAATGAAAGATTGTGACTTTATGGATGAGGATACAAGAATCCACATTGATGTTCACCTGTCAAAGGTAATTCCCTTGCCAACAAAGACAACTGGTGGATCCTCAGGTTTGCCACCCTGATAATCAATTTCTAGAAACTTGGGTGGTTCCTCAGATCCTCTTGTTACAGAAAGGAAAGATCCCATTTTCATAGATTCTGCCCAAGCTTGGTCTCTACAGAAATAGGAATGTATATCGTAAATTATCCTTCTCACTGTTGTAATGACTAAGTGATAAAAAATAATCAACATAAAGATATGAATATATTTTTACTGCATCATTAATTAAAACTTATTTGACCTAAGCATGCAGTCATAAGTAAAACAAGAGTCATTTTGTGTGGGCACATATGTATTCTATTACCTCTACCTATCTTCTTTTTTTGCCTACATCTCATTCTACACAGCCATGTTTGTTTCACCCACTTGTCATGCTTTTCTGCTGATCTTGTGTTATTAAACCACCATTACTTATATCATATCCACTGTAGCCTTAAAGAATGACAATATCAGCTGTTTTCACACTTATGTCTTAACACGATCACAGAGACTGTAAATCATATTGTTTAATTTAGTGATACCCTTTACTTTGATTCAAACAAACAACTGATATTCTCTATAAACTGATCTGTTGTCATGTTTCTTGTGTGACTTAATGAGAAATTTTTGACACATTCGGATGACTGTATACATTTGCATGTGATGAGGAGCAGATACTGTAATAAATCTTATTATAAGGCATGATGACGATGTGAATTAGAACTGAGTTGACAGAATAAACAGTACGTCACAAGAGCAAAAATGTGTATACAGGAGGATATTATGATTGCAGAGTAAAAATAACAACAATAAAAAAAGTTTTTGCAGTTAAACATACCCACTGCCAGAACAGAAAATATGAATATCATTTTTTTCCCTGTAATTAAATCTACAATATATAATCAAATGATTTAATTAACACATAAGCAATGCCATATTAACTAGATACAGGCATTGAATAAAAGGTAAGCAGGTCAAGGACCCTTTTCACACCAGTAGCACACCGGGCATTTGATGCTAAATCCACATTTGTACAGACCAGTCTTTGGGTGGTGATATCAACCCCATGCCGCCCATCTTTGTTTCCCAGCACATTTCCTGGCACCTAATTTAGGCTAGGTTGACGTGGGAGCCAAAGCCATTTTTTCCCCCCACAATCATTCTGCTGAGGATTGAAACCCAAGACTTATGGGCTCTGCTACTGTGGCTAACAACCAAAGTTATAAAGTTAAAAAAAAATGTAAGGGTCCCTTTACACACCAAAGACACATCGGGCATATGAAGCTAGGCTCATATTTTTGTACATCAAACAGCACTCGATAGCTGATGTGGCCAACATCCTGCGGCTGCCTTTGCTTCCAAGAATTGTACCTGGCACCGATTTAAGACTGGGTCGACCTGAATGTCAAGGTCGTGCTTGAAAAAACAAATTCCAGCACCATGCAAATTTGAACCTTCGGTCAGTTTCCCTAATGGTTCTTTTCAAATTAGGGAACCTTTTACTTGTGAATCCCGCAACGTAATTTATGCAATTACCTGCAAACGATGCAGCAAGGCATACATTGGGGAAACTGGCAGGAAGCTAGCTGATTGTTTCCGGGAACACCTCTCCGATATCGATAAGAAGACACTCAAACCAATCCCTCTCCATTTTAATAGCCCTGACAACAGCGGTAAAGATGATATATCTGTCACAGCATTAAAATCTTGCTCTGGCGATCATACTACCTGCCTCGCTTTGGAAAATCGCATTATCCACAGCCTTGGCATTCTTAGTCCAAGTGGTATCAATATCCAACATACTTTCATCTAAATAGTTATAATCTTGGCACATTTTAAATGTTAATTATTCTATTTTATTTTATTTCATATTATTACTTTATTCTATTTCTTATCAGTATCATTTATGTATCATAACCATTTGTATTTCTTTTATTCCCAGTATTATATTATATATTAAAAATACTACTGTTTTTTTGTGTGACTATATTTTTTAGCCATCGTTTATTTTATTTTATTTCATTTATTCCGCATCACATTTTTTTAAACGTCGCTCACGTCACCCATAAGAGATCTACATACTCTCCATTCCTCGTTTGTGTAGTTCACTTATGTTTGAAAAAGGCTGCCCGGCCGAAACGTTACGTTGTGTTGTTTTGTGCACGTTTTCCTCTTTCCCATTTTGTTGAGCTTTTTAGCCAAATTTCTCTGGAATTCCTTGTATTAGCTTGACTGCAGTCACCCCCATAGTTTCACCAAATTTGAACCTGCGGCCTTCAGATCCACAGGCGAGCCTCTAGCCGCTACACACTGGTGGCTCCCAGACAAAGGTATTAATCCAACATAAATATTCAGTATCTGAAAAACCAAAACTCGACATATCCTCATCATAACTCAAAAGGGGGGAATAGGATATCCAAGAAACATTACTATTGCAACATGTAAAACTAATATCTGTTATTTTCTCACACACACCTGACAGTTACTGTACATTTTGGAAGTTTGGAGATGTTCTTTGTGATCTCCTCACAAAAAATTGTAGGGGTCATCAAATTTGCCGGGGTCTCTTTCAAACGTCTGGCAAAATTCTGACCCTCGGCAAGTGTCAGCCCTCTTGACCAGTTGAGCCTGACTGCAGATCTGAGAATATTTTATAAAACGCAAATGTAACACTCGCTGTTCAACGCATCATTCCTCTTATTATGCTAACACAAATTAAACTAAAATTAGCCAAATATACATGGTACTCACAAAATTCTATTTGAGTTTTCTTCAGGTAAGTCATGATTTTCTCAGCTGTTAATTATTATTTATATATTTTGTAACTGCAAAATAGAAACACTAGTTTCATATTAATAGAAAAACACACATAAAGGCAAATATGGAGAAGTTACTAAACACACTCAAGGGATATAAGTACACTTAAACTAAGTTTGGAAATTATTTGTGTACAAGTTATTATGACAGTGCAGTCGGAGGAAGGTGGGGAAAAACAAAAACCACTTTTTTTTAGTCAGGAATGTCACAAATCTCTATAATATACTGATGCCATCTTGTTATGGTTGGGTCAAGATAGCAAGCACTTAATTGTTGTTAGTCATCTTTACTACATGTCTTAAACTAATGTATTAACTGTTAACTTGTTCCCAATTGAATGTATGACTAATTATAATACATTTAATATGATATTTATGTTCGAACAAAATGTCATCTCTGTGGTTTTCATTAACTTTATAAATACTGAAAGTTTTTTTTATATATATATATATATATATATATATATATATATATATACACACACACACATATATATAAATATTACCAAATCTTTGGTCCTGAGTATAGTACATCTGATAGTAAATGATCAATGAAAAACAACTGTAAACATTTGTTTCCCATCTCATCATTGGCACCTTTCCATCTTTCCAGACGATAGTGTTATAATGTGCTATGAGGAGGCATGAGACTCACAGCCCATGGCGATGGCAAGTCTGACAAGCAAGACCCGCCAGTGTTAAGAAAAGTCTTCCACAATTATAGTATGCGATTTCAGGACCATTTTTGTCAACATTTGTTTCTTTTCAGACGCCCAGCTCTCATCCTTTTTGCAATCATTTCTTCCTTCAGTCTCATCCCTTCCTGATATGCCCTTTCCACACAACACGGTCCATGGCATTTTGTTCCCATGAGTCCGCCTCAATACCTGTATCCTTTATGTCCCGCTTGAACACATCTTTATAACGTAGTAGAGGTCGGCCTCTAGATAGGCAAGAAAGTCATGTCCATGTGTTGAAACTGTACTGTCCTCATGTGGGTTCGAGGGACCAATTGTGGGACAAACAAGCATTGGGTCTACCCAATGCCTTCCCAACAAGCATGTCATAGTAGTCAACTAATTAGGGGCTTCCTTCAAAGTCGGAGTGCATCTGCCCGAGCAGCAAGGAACAACCAACTGTATACAAATAAGCCAATAAACGGATGTACATGCAAAACTCAGGCTCTGGCACAAAGCCAAAGTCCAAATGGATGAACAACCAGGTTCCACCAGAACTTACAGTCGATGAACAAAGAAAAAGAAGAAGAAGTAGAAACTTTTCTGTGTGTCACTGCTGAAACAAACTAAATTTGTTTACCCAGATATTCGGTTCAAATCAGCTGTTGTCCTTAGAGTTTATTCATAGGAGACTAGGAAATTTCAGAGAACATGATGAAAATAAAAAGAAATATGTGCAAGACAGTTTCCAATATTTACCTTAACATGTCTTAGCTTTGCAAAAGTCTTAGCTTTACAAAATGAGTTCTTTGTAGTTTTAAAGTCTTTATGTCTAGTCTTAAAACGTCCTGTAAGTTTTCTTTTGTTTATATTTACTAATAGGATGAGAATGGCATACTCATCATTATTTCCGGCAGTATAAATTAAGACATCAACTGCTGGCTTCCGTTTATCCTCTTGTTTAAGCTCATCGTAGGAGAATAATGACAAGGCACTTCCTTCTGCAGCAGCTAAAGAAAAAGTAACAATATAGTGGGTAACAGTTCTGTCTACTGTACTATTTTCTTCTTTGGATTTTTAATTAGATGTAAATCAGGAGTGGGCAACCTTTTTAGGTCGCAGGCCAAATTCAGAAATGCCAACCTTGTCATGGGCCATGTAAACAGATCCAAAATTAATGTAGCACTTAAATGTCCTTGTAACAATTTTTGTGGTATAATCTAAGATAATCTGTTGATAATCTGTAGACAATTCTGTAATCTGTTGCTATGCTCTGGCCAGACACACTCAACCACTAAAGCTCTTGTATATGTTCTAAAAAGTATATGTTGAAGCTAATTATTTATTAGCAGATTTATTATGCAGAGAGCAAAATAATGGAGAATTGGAAAAGGGGGGGGGGGGGGGGGAGAGAGAAGAACTAGGCTGTATAGTAATTGAACACCAGCTTCACAGGCCAGTTTTGGCAGTGGGCTATAGTGTTCACACCCGTGACGTAAATCATCACAAAATATCTACTTATCAACTGTCCATTTTCAGTGCACATAAACACTGTTTATACATGTATAATAGAGCGGTCAGTCGACAGATCATCCTCACTGCATATTAAACAATTTAGTCCATCAGTACTCAAATCCTGTCATGAAGTTGCCATATTTTCCTAATCTTATTTATCCTCTAAGCCATCTGTTTAGACACAAATGACTTCTTGAAACATCCTGTCACACAATCATGTATGATGAATGGTACACGTGTGAGTTTCATTGACAAACCAATCCACAGCAAGGTTGAAAAATTAGAATGTCCTCTTTACCAACCAAGTAAACTTTCTGTAATTGTTTAACTACTCCACAAGTGTAAAATGAATTGTCATGCCCATTATGTGTTGACTTATCAAAGTTTTGTGTCCTGAGTGAATTGTTCATGTCTGGCAACACCAGGTTACGCACAACCCAGACAGGAATACTGAGTCATGCTGATGATTGCCATAATCTTCTTCATGATATGCACCTTGCATGGCACTGATGATATCGCTCCTGTCCACTGCTGAACCAGTCACAGAAACCACCTCCTTCATCAGATAATCTGCAGGCTAGCTGCCCTAAACACAAACAGCCTGACACAAAGATAAAGGTTAGATGAGCCATTTTTCTTCTTCTTCTGCGTTTCATCTGAAGACGTAACTGGTTTGTGCCCGTTATGCATTTTTTTTTTTTACAATATGCAAAGTATATGATCATGATGAGCATTACCTTCAGCATCTCCACAAGGCTCAACATAGATCTGTGTCTCTCCAACATCTCGTAAACTCAGTACGGCACCTGAAATAGAATTTCACAGCAACTGTAAAATGAAACAAACCATCTGCTTAGGTGTCTGTAATGTGTATCTAATTTAAGCTTGTAAAGTTTATGCCCTAGTGAATTCACATCTTTCAATCCCTAATCTGAACCATTGTGAAAAAATCTCTCTATTTGAATTAATTAAAATAAAAATACTTCAGAACAAATATAAATCATTACAATTTGATCAAGTGTTAGTTTATCCCATTATTTTACCTTCTGTTCAATAAAGGTCTTATATGAACTCTTCAAGATACAAACATTTGTTAGTTTTAAAGTAATCAACTGTTTCAGATGGAACAAGCTAAATCAATCAAATAACAAGAAACTAAAAAATCCTCCATAAACTTGAGGAGCACATGAACATGTTGTACTGATAGCAATGGAAACTATTATTTGTAATGACAAAAGAACATTTTCCCCTAAACACAAACTATACAGTTTACTTACTAGCAACTGCTGTTCTAATGTTCTCCTTTCCTTGATCTAGCTGTTCTAATTCATCATACCCAGCATCCAGCTTGCCTAGATTAGCCACAGCAATTGCAGAATAATTCCCATCTACACCATACAGCAGCCTACTTTTGCCAGTTTTCAACTTCCTCCCAGCCCTAAAATGTATGCAAGAGTGACAATATGGTGGTTTTGAAAGCATATATCATTTCACAACTAATTCCTGCTAGACATTTATATAGATGTATGAGGACTGACCTTTTACTTCCGCAGCTAAATTATTGTGAGTAAATCTGTAGAATAGTCTTAGCACAAATCTTTGGACCCACTAAAAATGCAAAAAGAGGAAGAAGAGGTAGAAACAGCAAGAAAATTCATAATCTGTTTTATCAGTCATCATCAGTTCTCATTATGCCTAGTGGCATATGAGGCTTCAGAGAGGACTTTCCATGCTTTCCTGTCCTGTGCAATCTTCAGTGCAGTTTTCCACGTCACAGATGCCGCACTAAGGTAACTCTCCATCCTTGGTCTCCATGTTGTTTTTGTGCGCCCCTGTTTTCTCTTTCCCTCTGGTATCCATGTGAGAGCTGTTTTGGCAGCTATATCAGGATTCATTCTCATAACGTGGCCAAGTAATCTCCATCTTCTCTTGGTTATCATACTGTCTATAGTTTCTTGGTTTGTGACTTGAAGTAGTTTAGTGTTTGAGATTGTATCTGGCCAGAAAAGTTGGATAATTCTATGTAGACATGTGTGGTGGAAGGTGGACAGCTTGTGTGCATCCTTTTATTAATCTGCTTAATTCAGCACAAATTACTGGAATCATAATGGTTAGGGCATACAGACAGAATGACATAACAAAGAGACAAAAACTGTGTAAACAAAAGAGGAGGAACACAGAAGCAATGAAATGTTGTGTGATGTCAGACTTGTGAGAAACATTCTTGCAATACTTCCACAATGTGTGCAGACGTCGCTCTGAGAAATGCTGCACTGGCATTTATATTGTACATGATGTCTATTCCCCTGTTCACAAGATCAGGAGAATAAGCTGTACCCTCTACCTCATTTTAATCAATGATCTGAAGTAAGCACTGGGGTGTATCAATGTTAGTCTACAGATAATCTACTTTTTAATTGGTACTTGACAGTATGATGCCAGCTGCCTTTGCTTCCTATAATATTTTCTGGTACTCATTAAAGCTGAGCCAGAATGGGAGCCCTGGTCCATTACTTTTTTAATCTGCCACAATGAGGATTAGAACCAAGGGCCATCTGACCAGCAGGCAAGCATGCTAGTTGCTCATGCATTACTGCAGTCATTTATACAAAATACTGGTCAAAAATGATTATCAATTGTTAAACTCATCACACATAAAAGAAAGTTAAAATAAATAAAATCATACGTCTTCAAGACTGTTTCTAGCTTGCCTCCAATGCTTTCATTATACTGGGCAGTAGCTGGGGTGAAGATAAACTGTCCATCTTTTTCTTTTGGCTCATATATTCCTAAAACCAGACCCTTGTTCTGAAATAGTATCATCAATATAAATCTGGTGGGTAGGTTTTTCATAATTGTTTTTCAAGTGCCATCTTTTTTATAAAGGTGGTTTTTAACATTCTTTTAACATAACAAAAATAAAAAATATTTACTTTTCTTTATAAACTTAACTCTTAATGATTGAGAGGGCTAAAACTGGGGATGATATTTTCAAATGCACATGATAGATATTTTTTCCAGACTTTTTTTTTTGGTATCATTTTATGCTGGTAAAAATTGTAATTACTCCTTTAATATTACTTATAATATCAAAATCTGGTAATCTGGTAATTACCAGATTTTGATATTATAAGTAATATTAAAAGCTTGTATGAGACAAATTAAGAATTTATTTTATGTATATATTTTTCAGTACACTTTACTGAGATTAAAATGGCAATACTGTAATTACTCATTCTTTCACTGGTAGGAGAATATTTAAACTGATTCATCATGATAATCAATCAGCTCAATTTTACATGGCATTTATCAGAGGCAGATTGGAGTACGGCTCCATCGTGTACGATTCAACAGCTGACAACATCAAAAATAGCCTCGAAAGCATCCAAAGGCAAGCCCTAGCTACCATCATAGGAACTGGTCCTGGCACCAGCAGAGCCACAATGGAAGTTGCACTCGGAGTGACGCCCCTTAATCTTAGGCGCAGACAACTGGCCATCAACTACTGGATGCAGGCCAACGTCGACCCGGAACACCCCGCCAGGGACGCATTTCTCCCCAACCTGCACCACTATGGGAGCGGCAAATCTCCACGGTTCCAGGAACCGGTAGCCTGGCTCCTAGCGAGAACGGTGGAAGGAAGCGGTGTAGACCGAGCCTTCAAGGACACCATCAAAATCAAAGCAACCTTCCCCCCATGGGAACTGTCCCCACCGGCAACCGACACCTCCCTAACTAAACTAATCACCAAACAGACCGATAGGGCTGAAGCCAAAAAAATAGCAGAAGAGTATTTGGAACACCTCGCGACTGATAGCGTCAAGATTTACACCGACGGCTCTAAAAATGAGGAGGGGAAAGTCGGGGTAGGCATCTTCGCCCCACAGCTCGGTGTAACACAAAGTTTCAACCTCACTGACGGGACCTCAATCTGCACAGCCGAACTTATCGGCATCAAAGTAGCAATCGGCCTCGCCCTAGCCAACCCCCCGGCCAGAGTTCACATTCTCACAGACTCACTGGCCGCAGTATTAGCTCTCAAAGACCTCAGCAGAGGCTCTAGACAAGACGTCAAAGAAGAGATACTTGCGGCAGCAACGGAGCTAAAAAACAAAGGATGTGAACTAACAATATGTTGGATTCCAGCCCACAAAGGAATAGCTGGAAACGAAGCGGCCGATCTAGCTGCCAAACAAGGCATCAACAGCGCCGATGTACTAAACATAGGACTAAGCAAATCCGAAGGCCGCGCAGCCACTAAACAACTTTTGCTAAAAGCCTGGGAAATCCAGTGGCATAACTGCAAGCAGGGAAGACATGCATTCAATCTACTTAGGAAACCAAGGCCCCAGCCTCAGATAAAAGAACAAACGAAAATCCCGACCGTCAACAAACTCTGGAATCTGAGGCTGGGACACTGGGCCGATGTATACAAAAACCCAACGTGCCCTACCTGCAGGTGCCGAAACTCAATAGGCCACTACATGTTAGAATGCAAAAAGCATAACATCTCTCGAAAACCGATCCTCGACTACTGTGCGACCCACAAAAAGAAAGTATCCCTCACAGAGTGGCTGCACACCACGAGCGACAAAGCCCTGGAAGCGCTCGTCAAACAGTTCATTAGCAGAACTACAGGGGGGAACCGCACGATAGTCGACAACCGCATAGCAATTTCTCAATCCGCAACCCCATCCTAGAATGAATCGCCACGACCTGGAGGAAACAACCAACCAGCGATCAGACAAACGGACGCGGCCATCAAACCCGACAGCAATCTCCCCTCACCTAGCAAGCTATCTATCTCTCTCCCTTCTTCGACCTTGCTTTATGTCCTACTCAGCTTTTCAAGCTTTCAATTTTCTCTTAATTTTTTTGCATAAACTGTGTTACATCCCCACTACTTCTATACCATGTGTGGCCAGAATAAAACTGGATAAAAAATTGAAAAAAAAAAAAAAAAAGGGCAAAAAAAAAATAAAAACCAAACCAAAAAAATGAAGGCCAAAAAAAAAGAAAAAACAAAAACGCTTAACGCACTTACACATGTAAGATGCAAAAAATAAAAAGCACAAAAAAGATTTTAAGTGGGGCCCTGAAAAGGAGCCGTGTTGGGGAACTCAGTGACAAGCTTATCGATTTCGATGTGGTGTACAAGGAAACAGCCAAGGAACAATCACGGACAGAGTGCGTAACAGCTCACACAGGCAAAAAGGAAAGGACAAACAGTAAGATCGGTAATCAAGGCACAACCAAACGCCTACAAAAAACAAAACGACCTAGAGTCAGCACATAAACAAGGACTCGATATAGTCACCGCTCAATCAGGAGCAGACTGAAAGAGTTGAGGAGCTTTATAATTTTTGTTTTCTAAGTTCAATTCAATTCAGCCAGCTCTCCGGCCCCATGTGCTTTCAATGTCAATGCATCTTCAATGTCCTGTATCCATCTTCGGGGTGGTCGACCCCTGCCTCGACTTCCAAAAACTGCTTCCTCCACCACCGTTTTTTTTCAAGCCACCATGACGCCTGATGCGGTCAAAATACTTCAACTTTCAGGACAGGATGCTGTTTATGAGCCAGTTCTCCTTGATGTTCAACTCGTTTAGATTGTCGATGTTTTTTCTCTTCTTGACAGACAGTGATTACTGATCATAAATGCACGAAAGGTTGATGGTATGGTCGTGACAGACCAAACTAACTCAAGAAATTCACGAAGTTGGCAGCTGCATGTTCAGTGGCGCCACAGTCACAAAGAACATGTTTTCAGACAGTATTTACAACTGTTCTGCCACAATTTCAACATAAAACTGTCAAATACTATTGGCAGAGTTGCCAGTTTTCTTTGACGGAAAGTGTATTGTATTTTTATTTTTTCTGCCTTCTTTTCGGTCTGTCATTTCATTTTCTCAGTGACCACACTAGCTGGTGGTACACACTTTATTGATGCTGAACATCCTCTTGTGTTTAGATAAGTTGTAGCCAAGAAGGTCTCCTAGGCTGTGTCATTTCTACTACACATCTTGGTACTTTTACAACCATAACCATAGATATGGAATTGTTGCAAGTATAAGGCAGCCCTCTCTTCAATATACATCAAATGCATTAGATATTTCGAGAAACAGGCAGACAGTTTTTTTCCCTTCTCTGAAATCCTGATTTGGCTTCTTCTTGTAATTTAATAATCTGAACAAATATGCTTTGTGTTAAATATATACTGTTTTTATCTAAGCAAAATTTGGCTCTACTTGCAGATTTGGCCGGCAAGCTGGACGGCGTCGGTCGGCTTAGTGGGAGTTATGTCCCTTCGCCAAACTCAAAACAAGTCGCGAAAAAAGTCACGAATCAAATGACATACTTACCTATCATCATCCGGGTGCGTGTAGGGTTGCGTACGGTTGCGTCTAGGGTTACTTATCATCCTACGGTTGCGTGTAGGGCTGCGTAGGGTGTCTATCATCGTCCTACGGTTGCGTGTAGGGCTGCTTATTGCGTGTAGGTTGGTTGTTTGCGTAAGATGAGGGGTAGGGTTAGGGTTATTGTTTAGGGTTAGGGTTTAGGGTTAGGGGTATAGTTAGATGTGAAAATTTTCACGTAGGAGGTCGAAATAGTGGCCGACAATCTGACGCTTGTGGGAGTGGCGCCACTGAAACTCTGCCAAATATGACGCCAAAAGCGGGCGGCTGGTGCGCAGTCGCTGGGGAATTGTTCGTTTCACTAGCATTCACAGGCCTTCAATTGTTTGTGTGTGTATGTGACTGTGCGCGACGTCGACGAAGTTGGTCTGGTGGACTACTACCTCGTGCAGATAGATGCCATGCCTTAAGTTTGCGACATTGCTGTAGCCTCGCCAAGCGTCAGTCACGATGGTCGTTCCCGGCAGTACGTGATCTGTTATGATCCTCTCCAATGTCGCCGAATCTCATTTTCGCACAAGCTCCAAGTAGCAACGGCCAGTCTCACGCTCTACTAGCCCTACGACCCAACGACCGTGACGGATGCGACCGCGCTGATACTTTTGTCGGAAGAAGTAGCTCTCGTCTACTTCGACCACGATAGATTTGCGGGTCTCATCGAGTCCTCCCAGCTCCACGGTGTGTCTCAACATCCAATTATAACATTCCTGATGGAAATAATTGTTGTAGTTGACAATGGTGGACCAGCACGTGAGTCTCTCGAAAACCATGACAGTCGTTGAACTTACGCCGGAGAGCCAGTAGTACATCATCATGACCTAACCCTAACCCCTAACCCTACCCCTCATCTTACGCAAACAACCAACCTACACGCAATAAGCAGCCCTACACGCAACCGTAGTACGATGATAGACACCCTACGCAGCCCTTCACGCAACCGTAGGATGATAGGTAACCCTAGACGCAACCGTACGCAACCCTACACGCACCCGGATGATGATAGGTAAGTATGTCATTTGATTCGTGACTTTTTCCGCGACTTGTTTTGAGTTTGGCGAAGGGACATAACTCCCACTAAGCCGACCGATGCCGTCCAGCTTGCCAGCCAAATCTGCAAGTAGAGCCCAAAATTTTAATCTTTGACTGACTAAAGTTTTTAGTATTTTACAGAAGTGAGATGCTAGTAAAATTGCCCTGTATGATTCTGCATTGCGATCGTCTTTTCCTGTTTTTAAAACAGGTTCTAAGTACATTTGCTCACAATGTTAAGTAAAATATGTAAAACAAAATTATTGTGCAAATGTGTGTAGCTTATTTATGTTTTCTTTTTACAATTCCACTGTGTGGAGGGGAAAAAGAGGGTTGGGGGGGGGGGGTGACACATGTTTCCGTACCGGGTATTGACTGACCATTCGATCAATAAATCAAAAACTATTCATCCCCACAGCAGAAGTGGAAACTGATGATAATGAATGTGAACATTGCTACCCATCGATCAATTGATTGAAAACTATTCCTCCCCACGCCGCTTAACTCTAAACATTGCTATTCATCGAGCAATAACGGCAGGAGTGGAAACTGATGATGATGATGGCCTAAATTATTATTTCACTGCGCTTAACTGATGATGATGATATAAACATTGCTTCCCATCGACACAGAGCTTCAATGGATCGAAAGTTATTCCTCCCCACGGCGCTTCAGAGGATTGAAAACTATTTCTCCCCACGATGCTTAACTTCAAATATTGCGCAGAAGTGGAAACTGATGATGATGGCCTAAATTATTATTTCAGGGCGCTTAACGGCAGAAGTGGAAACTTATGATGATGGTCTAAATGATTATTGGTACGTATTCCGCTTCCATATTTTAGTTGTTCCTATTCCATATTTTTTATAACCTCTTGAGGCTCTAAAAGGGATGTTTTTGGCAGTAAATAATTTGGGACCCGTATTTGGAAGAGTACCTATATATATATATATATATATATATATATATATATATATATATATATATATATATATATATATATATATATATATATATATACAGGCTATCATCCTAATAACGGGCACAAAAGATGGTGGCCAAAAACAGTGCCTCAGTCACGTGTCAATTGCGCACATCCGGCGACTTAATTTGCGGTTTTCTGGTGACTACCGCCACCGCTGACAGTATCCCCCATGCGGCGTGGATTGGGGCTAAACTAGATGGCTAGGACTCACGAGAAAAGCAGGAGATGTGGAAGCTGCTGCTCGTGAGCCCCAGCCATCTAATTTAGCCCCAATCCATGCCGCTCACGCGGTGGTGGCGTAGTCGCCGGAAGTGCACAACTGACACGTGACTGAGGCTCTGTTAGGGTGTTTTTGCGGCCGCCATTTTTTGTGCCCGTTATTTGGAGGATAGCCTATATATATATATATATATATATATATATATATATATATATATATATATATATTAATATATATATACACACACACACACATATAGTTTTCCATGTTAATCAGACGCTTTATTTGTTTATAATTTGTGTGTGTGTATAAACTGTAAGAATCTCCTCCTGAAGGCTTCGTCTTCTGACACTGAAACGAAACTTTCAAAAAAAAGGCTCCAGAGGGTTAAACAACTCAGTCTCAATCTCATTACTACACACAGAAAGAATATAGTTAGTAAGCAGACGTTGCATTACTGTAATAAACGACAGGCAAGACTGTTTCATGATAATCCATACCTGAACAAGAGACATGCTAAAATATCGAAGGATATTAGAATTAAATTGTGAAGTTTGTTGCAACAAAATTCGACGTGCCCTCGCGAGGTGAATGGAAGCAGACATCGTGTGGTGTTGTCTGCGAGAGTGATTTCCCTCAACTGTCCTGCAGCGTGTTGTGCTTTTGACCCCTGGGTTACGAAGGTGATTTGTCTTTTCACCCCCTAAATTAGAGACTATCGTTGGGTTCGGTGCAATCTTCCACTCTGCGTGGTTTGTTTCTGTAATAGTACATGAGCCCGTTTGGTACCAGGATTTCACCTTCAGTTCGAAGTTGAGTGAATTGCTGGTTCTCCTTTTCTGTCAATCAATCAATCAGGTGTCGTTCCCACAGTAAAAGTTGACTGCAACTGATCTTCAACAAACTCTCTCTTATCCTGGTTCACGGCCGACTCTATTATATATTTATGTAAATAGCTCTAGATGGTGTCCTGGTTGTGCACGCTCTCAGACTGCTGCCCGTCCATCTCTTGATGCTGTCCTCCCGCTTGTATTATTGCCTACCCCTTGCTCTCTTTCCTTCGATATTTCTCTCTAGTATGATTTTAAAAATGTGTTATGTTTTTTAATGAGGCCAAGGTATTTCAATTGTCTATTTTTTTTTATTTCTTTAATTAATTTTCTTTTCATTTGTAGCTTTTCCAGAACCCCTGTATTGGACTGAATACTTTCTGTTACTTGATTAATTATTTTCATGAAATGCGACCCGTTCTTCTGTATATTTCTTCCATCATCTACGTGTTACTGTTACTACCTTTTCTGTAGGTTGTTCGAAGCAATAGCGAACTCCATCGAGGAGCAAGCAAGCACAATATGGATTTCCTTCTACATATCTGTCTATGCCTATGTTTTCTTTACAAATTAGTTCGGAGTGAAACGAATTGTGATTTCTGATACATTGGCAGGGGCGTTTGTTAATGCTTTATCCATAGGGCTGTTGTGTGCGGATAATAAGGGATGTTGTAACACTTACTCAAGTCATTGCGATGTCAGTCATTGAATACAGCCTGTGAATAGCAAATAGGGTGACATATGTCGCATTTTCACATGGACAGCCCCGTTTTTGTATGTATACAGTCAACTGCGATCGTCTCGTCGGTCGTCATAATCATCATCATTATCATCATCATAAACCACTTCTGCCGTTAAGCGGCGTGGGGAGGAATAATTTGCGATCCAGTGCACGCTGGCTGCCACTGGCTATTGTCATGCCGTGAAGGCGTAGAGTGTCTTTAATGTTGTCGATCCATAATTTTCCGCGGCCATCCTCTTGCTCTTGTAGCTGATCTTCTGAGATGTAGTGCTTGTGATGGTATTTGATCTTGCTGCATTCTAACGAGATGGCCAAACCACTTGATCTGCGGTTTCTCGATAATCTAGTACAAGGTGTCGTTCCCACAATTTGCCTGATATTTTCATTATTCACTCGGTTGGCTGCTTTTCTCCGGCATCTTATCGCGCAGGTGGTGACTTTGCGTAAATGGTCGTTAGATAGTGTCCATGTTTGGCACTTGTAGCTTAATGTTGGAATGAATATGCTATTTATAATCTGTCTCTTTGCACTCATAGCTATGCTTGGATGTCTTAATAATGCTGACCATTGGTATATAAGTGCACTTGCTTTCTGAAATCTGGTTTCTATTTCTCTGTAAATTATACCATCTTCTGTGCCACATTTTGTTTCTATCCACTATATCGAAAGCATTTTCCTTATCTACAAACACAATATTCTGTTGGGTATTATACTCAGTGGCTTTCTCACACACTTGCCTCAGAGTGAACAATGCATCTGTGCATCCTCTGCCTTTTCTGAAACCAAATTGTGATGCACTCAGCTGTTGTTCAGCTATGGGTCTAACTCTCTGTTCTAGTAATTTGGCATACATTTTTCCTACGTGACTCAGTAGTGATACACCTCTGTATGCTACACATTCTCTCCTATTACCTTTCATTTTGAACAACGGTACTATTAGTGCCTGTTGCCACTCAGCTGGGACTTTTCTTTCTTCCCAAGCTTTATTAAAAATGCTAGTAAGCCATTTAACACCCACTTCTCAGCATGCTTGGATCCCTTCTGTGTTAATTCCATCCAGACCTGGTGCTTTGGTTCTGGGGCTGTTTGAATAACTGCTCTTACTTCCGCTGCTTTGAAATTTGGTTCCCTTTGTTCGCAGCTTTGAGGTATAAAGATAAAATATACGTTGCCTGCGAGAATGAGAAGTTCTTGAACTCGTCGGTACTCAAGAAAAATATTGTTCTGTTTAATAAAAAATTGTTCGTGTGTGGAGGGAGAGTAGGGGGGACTTAAAGTACCTGAGCCCCCCCCCACCCCCATTTTTGCCTGCAACATTTTAAGGCAGGGCTGGGGTATGTATACGTTGGTTCCCGGGGGGGGGGAGGAGGAGTGAGCGCGCCCGATGTAGTCCCTAAAGCTTGCTTCAAATGTCTGACACCAGCTGTCTCACACAATTACTAAAATGACTGACTGTGTCCTTTACGAGCTGCTAACTATCGGTTGACACCCTGTGGTTCGAAAAGTCGCATCCCAAATGTTAATTCAACAGGACAAATCTAATAATCCTTGTTTAAGTGCGCCTCTGAGTTAGAGGTTATTGAATGCGTTAAACAGTTTCACGGTCCTCGAGTACACAAGTTCGATTTCCTCGGTGGACAGTTTACTTAAATAATAATTCTTGAGGGTCGCCCCGTGGAAGATACTGGGTCTCACCACAAAATATGTCCAACGACAGCTTTGGGTGTACTGTAGCCACATTAATTATGGAGATGGAACATCATTTCTTTATCATGTTCGACAGCCTAAGAAGTTATAAACCTAGCATCTGTAACGGCGACAACCAAGTACTCTCCTCATGTTCCTGGCAGTTGAGTATGATACATAGTAATTGTCTTTTGCCTTTACGAAGCTGTTGGCCTTAGCTGTCCTGTATTTATTTCTTTCAATACATATAATTCTACTGGCGACTGTCCACCTGTTTCTGGGAAAGGATACTCGAATACTTCCTAGTGTGCACGAATACATAGACAATGAGTACTATTTCTATTGAAATGCATTTTAAACATATTTTACAGTTTGACTATAAAAAAACATCGGGTAAGTTATTTTATTCAGTAGTTATTTACATAACTTTTAAAGTTTTTTTTTAATGGGATGGTATCAGCAAATATTCTGTACATTCTCAATAATATATTGGTGCTCACTCACATTGCGTATTCTTAACGTAACAAACCGTATTACACCCTTTGTAAACAACATGGCGCTCATTATTTTCTTATGCTGAGAACATCAGGTCTTTTTATGCATACTTTAATTATTAATTCAAATACGCAGCGTTTACATTATTTTTTATACCGTGCACATCTGCTACTTGTTTACTTGTATTTTATATAGCATGCCCACTGGGATCAGAATATTTGCGATTTATGCCGGGATCCTACAGAGAAATTCAGCCTGGGTGTTTAGGTAGGGACTACAGTTTCGACAATTTGCGGTCTTTTCTGCAATTTCCGTTACCCGGAAACCGTTCAGAACTTGTTCGGGAAATCTCGGCTGGTTTCCGTATGGGTCCAAATCTCTCATGAAATTTTGCCATTGGTGGGAATTTGGACCAGCTATAAATAGCTGAAAACAGCGTGGGGGAACCCGATTAACAGCGCATGTCAACGACAGCCGGACGTCATCGCTTTTTCTGTTAGTCATCAGTTTGATTGAAAATAGCGGTAAATTCGAGGTTGGCTTTAGGCTTTAACTGTTACTGTACCTGGTAATGCTAGTTATAATTGAATTCTCCGTCCAATTTTACATTTGCGTATAAAATTTTGTTCTGGTACGTGGCTAGGTAGATGTACAGTGACATTTTTTAGGCAATCGCATGCGGCTGAGTGAGCTGAGTCTCACTGTCTGCCATCTTGTCCAATGACAGTCCAATGTCAACAAAGCCGATACAGAACTGCGCAGTAGGTTGCGCAGTAAAAAAACTTCTTGTTTCTGGGTCACGAGTTTTAGCGGCTGTTTCTTACATCTCATCTCCACAAAAACCTACATATCTCAGCTCAGAAATGACATACAAGCCTAAATGAGGTACCATTGGAAAGAGATTGTTTACAGCTGTCTAACTGTGCTGGTTTTATTGGTGTAGAGGGAATTTTAAAAATTTGACTGAAGTACCTAGTTTAGGCTTAGGCGTTACTGCCAATTCTGCAGGAAGCAGGATAATCTTACTCTGATATTTTAACAGCGGGACTGCTGGATAATCATGAAGTAACGACATGTCAGTGATGTTTTGAGGTCGAGTGGTTGACCTATTGGGAAATTGTAATGTAAAGGTATCTATGATTAGATATGGAATATAATTTTGGCTCTTCTTTCAATACTGGACGGTAGCTGGACGGCTTAGTTCGGCTTAGTGGGAGTTTTCTCCCTTGGCCGCATTGCAAACAGGGAGCGGAAAAGTCACGAATCAAATGACATACTTACCTATCATCATACGGTTGCGTGTAGGGTCGCGTAGTCATCATACGGTTGCGTGAAGGGTTGCGTAGTCATCATACGGTTGCGTGTAGGGTTACCTATCATCATACGGTTGCTTGTAGGGTTAGGTAGGGTGTCTATTATCATCATACGGTTGCGTGTAGGGTTGCGTAGGGTGTAGGGTTTGGGATAGGGTTAGGGTTACGGTTAGTGTTACGGATAGGGGTAGGGTTAGGGTTAGGGGTAGGGTTAGATGTGACAATTTTGACGTAGTAGTTCCAAATACTGGCCGACAATCTGATGCTACTTCTTCCGACGAAAGTATCAGCGCGGTCGCACCCGTCACGGTCGTTGGGTCGTAGGGCTAGTAGAGCGTTAGACTGGCTGTTGCTACTTGGAGCTTGTGCGAAGACGAGATGCGGCGACATTGGAGAGGATCATAACAGATCACGTCCTGCCGGGAACGACCATCGTTACTGACGCTTGGCGAGGCTCTCCTACGTCAAAATTTTCACATCTAACCCTACGCCTAACCCTACCCCTAACCCTATCCCAAACCCTACACCCTACGCAACCCTACACGCAACTGTATGATGATGATAGAACACCCAACCCTACATGCAACCGTATGATGATAAGTAACCCTACACGCAACCGTATGATGACTACGCAACCCTTCACGCTACCATATGATGCCTACGCAACCCTACACGCAACCGTATTGACTACGCAGCCCTACACGCAACCGTACGCACGCAGCCTTATGCAACCCTACACGATACCGTATGATGATAGGTAAGTGTGTCATTTGATTCGTGACTTTTCCGCTCCCTGTTTGCAATGCGGCCAAGGGAGAGAACTCCCACTAAGCCGAACTAAGCCGTCCAGCTACCGTCCGGTATTGAAAGAAGAGACTAATTTTTATCGAGAGTGAGTGTGAGGATGTTAGAAGTGATTTGCTATTTGACAGTGACTGTGAGCTCCTGTACATTATTTCCTGTTCGTTTACAATGTCAATCCTGATCTCATAATACACATTTGATACACATACTCCTTTGTGCTGTCCAGTCGGAAGAATTAACACATTTGAAATGGATTGTTGCCGTTGCAGTTAAAAAGATGTCTACAGAGCTTTGATTGAGCTTTGTCCACCATTTAATGCAAATTTCATGCTGTACTGTTTTCCTAGATTTGGCTTGGTAGAATGAACTGATCTGTATTCAAGTTGTGTCGATTCGCTACCTTCAGTTATGATCATACCTCCATGCAATCATACTAACCCCCCCCCCCCCTCCCACGTCGTTCTGTTACGTTACAATGGGAACTCCTTCGCCTATAATAGCAAGCTCATGGCATAACACGTCCCAATGAAAGGCCAAGTCGGGACCGTCACACCAATGAAGACCTGATGCATTGACTGCTGTTCTTACAAACTGGGCCTTCTTTACTTTGTTATATTTTCAAGAACGTTCATTTTCCATGTCAGACAGGGATGTGTCCTCTCACCACTGCTATTCTTTAATTACATGGATGTAATTACACAGGAGGCAAATGCAGTCTCTGAATAAATCAATGAACTTTTTTTTGCAGACGATCAATGTCTAATACACCACTAAGAGCAGAATTTATGACACCATATTGACTCCTTAATCAAACCTGCACAAAGTATGATATGAGAATAAATAACATGAAAACTGGGTAATGAGAATAGGCTTGAAATATAATATCATGAACATTTAGTTAACGGTGATAAAGTCAAACTAGTACGAGAATTCAGATATCTAGGATGCATTTTTGCAGAGGATGGCAGATTCAACAGAGAGATAGAAACCAGAGTATGGAAGGCACATGCTGTCACCTACCAGTTAGCCCCATGGCTTAGATACCCAAATGTCTCACTTCCAGAAAAACAACAAATGATTAATAGCATCTTGTCCCTACTTTATGGTATCATTGTCAAACATGGATAAAGAATAAGGCACTAGACTACAAAATAACTACATGTGAAATGTGCTATCTCTGCAAGGTCATAACAACACAAGAAGGAACAGGGTTACAGATGCCACCAGCATTAGAGAGAAAGCTGGAATAAGACCATGTCTGGATTAGACCATCTAGTGAGAATGCAGGCAGACCAAACTGTAGATGAAACTTTTTACGGCAGAACATCTGGAAGGAAGGTGAGGGAAAGACCAAGAAAGAGATCGATAATTGGTGTAGCTGAATCCTCCAAAAAGATGAACAAATACATCAACTCATCCAAGCCACCCAAGAAGTGCAAGACAAGTAAAGAAAACCATGACACTGGGCTACAACCTGGTATCATTGAGGCGACAAAAGAAGAAGTTCATTTTCCAATTGTCAAGTCCAGCTAGTCTTGTATTTTTCAGTTCATCTTGAATGCATCTGGACACTTTCTGTGATATACACTTTTCATCACACCTACTCATTGTCTCTATTGACTTATATTTTGCAACTTGCTAGATGTACTTAACTCTTTCAGGCCCATGAATTTTGACAGACTTGGCCCACATTAATTTCCCTTTACAAAAATGGCAGAGGGGTGGGTGTACAAGAAAGGCTGTAGAGACTGTAATATACTTTTAATCCATATAACAGTATATATTTTTTAAACGAGAAATGAGCGTACATTCTGAATCTGATGATAACTGTTTGTTTAATTTTGTTATAGTTAGTGGAAAAGAAGAATTCAGCAGGTGTTAATTTCACAAGGACAACATTTCACAAAAAAATTCTTCACTTACCATGGTTTTGCAGCCACAAGAATAGTAAATATCCAAATTTGAGAACAAAACTTCAAAGTTTGTTCAATGTCCTAACATATTCTAAAGTTATGATAACTTTCTGGGTTAGTTTATCACTCAGGGGCTCTTAGTTCCCACCGAGTGCTAAGCAAAATTTCAGAGAAAAAATGGCAGAAAAATAAGCCATAACACACACTATTTACTATTTACTTTGTACAGTTATTTACAGACTGTAGCTGCGATGATTTCAATGTAGCTTAGCCATAGTATAGTACTATCTCTTTGTTTAGAGCACTTTCCTCCTCTTACACCATAAATACGATAGTATGGGACATTGTCTGTGTAATAAACTCGTCAGAATCGCTAGATTCCGAACAGCTGATCGCTCAGCTTCACTGGTGAAAATTCACTGTCTGAATCACTTTCCGAAAAATCTAAATTTTTATTATCATTTTCACAATTAAAAACATCTGACTGAAACAATTTCAGAGCTTCGGCCGCATAAAGACGCATTCTGCGACCTGTTCTTGTGGTTAGAACATTGGTATTCAGTGCACTCAAAAACGAACTTAGAAAATAAACTGTAAAAAAAAAATTGATGTTTTTTTCTCTCAAATTATCCACGTGTGTTTTAGTCCAAGAAGTGAAACTAAAAGGATTTCGGTAGAGTGACTTTCCCTGAATAGGTTATTCGTACCTCCAAACATTAGAAACTAGTACGAACGCGCATGCGAAGCAAAATGTAAGAGATACACGATTAACGATGACACTGTTGTTTGGGCAGAACGGAACTTCTCAAACTACGCTCAAACCGTTGTTTGGGCCTTAAAGAGTTAAAAAGCATTGTTTTGAATAGAACAGACTAGATTATATATATATATATATATATATATATATATATATATATATATATATATATATATATATATATATATATATATAATATATATATATATATATATATATATATATGTAGGATTTTTCTAAATATCCTGTTGGCCATTAATCCAGATTAATAGTCATGCTTGCATTTCTTCCATAAGTTTATTTCTTCTTTCAGAAAACATAATATTTACATCTTTAACGACATCTAGTTCCTTAAACCAAAAAAAAACTCTGCTTTCTTGGAAACTGTAGCTATAGTGGACTTGAAAAAGTTGCACTGCTTGCAAATATTAGTTTGTCCGACTCATTTCTCATATTTATTCACAATCTTATTCTTAATTTCTTTTATACTTTTTTCTTCTCTTCTTTCGGGGGGAGAGGGGGGGGGGGGCTAGGTTGGAACTAAAAAATGATTTGAATTGTCTGTACGTAATGCTCCAAGCCATTATATAAACTACTTGTCTTGTTTGGTTACATAAATACTGAAATAGACACACACAAAAGTAAATATGTACATGGGCACACACATCAGTATTTCATCCTGTTCCAGATAAATATGACTTAGTAACAACAAAGATGCATGCATATGCACTGCATCATGGTTTGTATCTTGAATTTAGGTCATATGTAGAGCGGTTCATAAGTCGAGGTATCACTGCCGTTTTATTTTGTGTAAATAGACAGACAGGAACTTCCAAAAGTGAGCCACAACATAAACAAATGGTACAGTTGTTTACTCTTCAATGTTTGCTGAGAAACTAATAGTTTAGACAAAAATTAATTATTGTGTTTTTAAAAACATGAGTTTAAATAATGTTAGCAGATGTTTTTCATATTGTTGGTTTACATTAACAAAACCATTTGTTATAGTAACTAATAAGTAAATTTTTTTAAGTTCAAGGTTTGTTGACTGTAATTTTTGGGTGATGTGTTTTGACTTTTCTTGACCATAATTTATTCCACAGTCAAGGTGTTTAGTATCATTGATGGCATGTTTATCCTTGACTACACTGCAATTGTGCAATTTTTGTTTTTGTTTTTGTTGCTTTCACTTACAATGTACTCAATTTCTTTACTGAATACCATTTTTATTCCACAGGACATATACACAATAATGACTGGGAGCAAAGACTGACACAGCTAGGTACGAGAGGCACACCAGATGTATGAGAAGTCTTGTTAACCAGCAAAGGACTGGCACTGTTGGCCAGAAGAAGTTGATGAATATGTTGAGGGGGAATCCTTGCACCCATGGATGTGTCTAGAGGTGCTGTGAAGGTAATTCGGCTAATAACTCACACACCTCAGTGATCAGGAAAATGTATGCTGGATGAAATTATTATAGAAGCATGTTCAAGATTTGTTAAAATTATAAGCTCATAATTTCACAGTGACATTGTTTCAGTACTGCAAAATTAACAGCCATAAATGTCTTCATCAGTTCTTTCAGAATATTTGAAATATGAGGAATGGCTACTTGCAAGCAATACTTATCTGCCAAACAACTGCAATATTGCCCTTATTTACACATTTTGCAGGAGAGGTCTTTTTAACCTAAGGATTTAGCATCCCATGGCTTGTGCTGTCGCCACAGACTGTGCTGGTTATGATTTTATTTTTGCCTCCAACAGAAACAAATCCACAACCTTATCAATATTTCAGATTTGGGTATCAACAGCAATAAGAAATGTTCAATGTCAGAGTTGTTATTAGAGTTCCTATGACACAGATCTACTCAGTGTTACAAAATGTGATCATGACTGTAGTAGTCAAATGTCCTTATGTGACATTTATATGGCTATTAACAGTTTGTTTAATCGAAGTCTGATGAAAGCAGACAACTACATGACTTCCAGGCTTGTGATTGTTTCCAGTCGGGTCAGGAATGTTAGCTCTTTGAGACATGCTCTCCTTGCTGGCGTCAATTTGCTGCAGTATAACTGTGAATCACATACTTTAGACGACATTGAATCCCTTATTGCACAAATATGCAAGGGCCAAAAACTGCAAAGTATTGCTTTATTCTGAGTTGCTTTGGTTCTTCTCTTCAGTTAGGGATCAAAGAAGAAAAGTTAATACAAAGAGATGGAAGCTTAGATAAGAGTGTACAAGCATTTTTTGTACATATTGTGCAAAATCATTTTGTGAATACAGACCCAGGATCACGCATTGATTTTCTGGGATGGTACTCTTTGCAGTCTGTAGAATGTACCCCTGTAGTAGTCAAGGAGATACAATCATTGACTGGGATTGTTGTTGGGGTATGGCATGATTTATCTGGACATGCTTCTAGTCACAACATTTCGGAGGAACTAGGATCAAAATTGACTGTAGGAGAGTTGTATTTTCGACTGGAGAAACTAAGAAACTGGAGTGGCCGTCATCAGCAGAGTTTGGCAGGTTTTGAGAAGATCAGAACTGTGGGGAAAGGAGCATATGGAGCTGCAGTTTTATATAAAAAGAAAGACGATGAGTCATTAGTCATATTAAAAGAAATAAATATGCACGACCTGAATGCATCTGAAAGACAGTTAGCTCTGAATGAAGTCAACGTTTTAGCCATGCTGGATCATCCAAATATCATAAGGTACTATGATAGTTTTGAAGAGGATGGTGTTTTGATGATTGAAATGGAATATGCAGACAATGGGACTTTGTCACAGTATCTGGCCAAGCAGGATCATCCCATAGAGGAGAAAGACATTCTTGCAATGTTTCGTCAGATTGTTGGAGCTATTCGATATGTTCATTCCCACAACATACTTCACAGAGATCTCAAAACTGATAATATATTTTTAACTAAGGAAGGTGTTGTGAAAATTGGAGACTTTGGTATATCCAAAATGATGGGTTCTGCAAACAAAGGAGCACAAACAGTGCTAGGTACACCATACTACATAAGCCCAGAAATGTGTGAGGGAAAGCAGTACAGTTTCAAGTCTGATATTTGGGCCCTTGGCTGTATTCTTTATGAGATGACTTGCTTACAGAAAACATTTGAAGGATCTAATCTGCCAGCGGTTGTCAATAAAATTATGAAAGGATATTTTGCACCTGTGAGAGGAAATTATAGTGAAGAATTTAAACAACTAATAACAGACATGCTTAAGAAAAATCCAGATGATCGACCTGAAGCCAATGATATTATGTACAAACATCTTCCTCCGTTGATAAATAATGTGAATGGAAGAATGTCTGATCAGGATGATGAGCTAGCCTCTTCAGAAAATATAAACAAAAAAGAAAAACTTCGTTCAGTATTGTACTATCTTGAATCATCCACAACTACTCTTACTTGTGTCAGTGATCTTCCACCTCGCATGAAAATTAAGCACATGGCAGTTGGTCCTGACCATGTCATTGTAACAACAACAGAAAGACAAGTGTTCACTTGGGGTCAGGGAGGATATGGACAGTTAGGGCATGGTGATACCAATGATCGATACACACCAACTCTTGTGGAACACCTCAAAGGAAAGTCAGTCAATTTAGTTAGCTGTGGACAGGGCTTTAGTATCTTTGGTAGTGATAATGGCCTGGTTCTTACTTGTGGAGATGGCAGTAAAGGGTGTCTAGGTCATGGCGACTGGTGCTCTACAACACGGCCTAGGCTTATAGAATCATTGCTGAGTGTAGATGTAATAGTAATGGCCAGTGGGCTCAATCATGTTGTGGTCATAGGAAGAGATGGAGCTGTCTTATCTTGGGGTGATGGATCTTGTGGCCAGCTGGGGCTTGGTTCAGAAGAAAAGCTCTGCTTACCAACTAAAGTGCATGTAGAAGAGGCTGTGATATTTAAAGATGTGCAATGTGGAGTAGATGGTACAATGCTCATATCTGACGTAGGGGGTGTCTTTGCATGTGGAAACAATGAATACAATAAGCTAGGTCTCAACAACAGGCAAGGATTTCTCATGGCAATGAAAAATATTTTCACTAAAACTGAAGTTGAAGGTAAGAATGTTCCAACCTCCTGTGCGAGCTTTGGCTAGTCATCGTGTGCTAGCCGTGTCTATGGGTGCACATCACACAGCTTGTATTGTTGAGCATGGTCATGTTATCACATTTGGGAAGAATTCAGATGGACAGTTGGGAACACAGAATACAAAGCCATCAGGTGCTCCCATGGAACTCAAAAGTCTTCAGGGGAAAATAGTCAACCATGTACAGTGTGGTGAGCATTTTACAGTGGCTAGCACAAAGGACCATGAGCTGTACTATTGGGGACTTCGATATACTGCTCCACCAGTGGCCAGATTTGCAGATTCAGCTAGTCAGTCGAGCTGCAGTGATGGAGGAGCATGTCTATGCAGCTCATGTCACAAGAAGGATGTGCCACAGAACAGCACATCTAAATCTTCTTTATCAGATGCCAATATTGAGGAAAATACTCAACAAAGCAGCTGCCCTGGAAGAGAAGTCAGCGATGACAGTCAGCCGCATTCACAATCTGAGGTAGAGTCTCAAGGCTTTCAACCACTTAGCAGGGTGCCAAAGCGTTCTATGAGTGCTAGTAGTCAGGAAAACAGCAAAGACAGAGATAAGGAGATAATTAGAGATACCAGCATTGTCATCTTATATCCCATGGAAATCATCAAATTAAAACAAGGAAATGAAAAAATGTTACTGGGAAACATCAGTTGTCATGGTGAAAATCTGTTTATTCAGGTGGAAACAACTGCTCCTCCTCCTCGTCGCCGAACATTTAAGAAAAAAATTATCAGACACAAATCTACCCACCCCCTATCACACATCACTGTGCAGTCTGCTAGTAATTTATATGAACGTGGTATAAACCTTGAGGAAAATTCATTTTCATCTGAAATGTCAGAATTAGATATGAATGATTCAGTTCCAACATGGCTGAAGGATGAACTAGCTCAAAGTATTGACATCATCAGTGATGGAAATGAACCGGATGACACCAGTGGACAATCAGAAGAGGAGAGGAGAGCTGGTGGAATAGATTCATCCATGTCCAGCATTCAGGTCAATAGAATTTTGACTCCTGTGGAGAGTGATCATTGTTACACCCCACGAAAGGAAAGTCGAGTATTTGTCAGTGGAGATAAATGTAGTTCACGTTGTCAGATTCACACATCACACTTACATAACAAATCTTGCTCTGCAAATTTGGCTAAAAATAACCTAGATACAGTAAATACTGGACTGTATTCAGACAGCAGTTCAGGAGTTGTTTTAAAGTATAAAAGGTATAATGTAATGCCAGCTCTCTCATTGAATGCAGCTGCAGTACCTGTGACTTCACAAGGGAAAGTAAAGTCAGAGAGGACCCATACAAAATGTAAGGTACCAGTTAAAGAGTGTGCGCAGGGCCGTTCTGTAAATTGTAAGGAAAAAGTAGGCTGCCGTGGCATTGTTTCAGATGTCACATTTAAACGCAGGGAAGAATTGTTGTTACTTGAATTAGAGAAGATCAAAGTAAAGAAAAAACAGGCAGATGCCAAAATTCAAATGCTTGAGAAAGAAAGAGATATTCACAGAATATTACTGCATAAAGAAGTGGAAAAACGAGCTCAGGAACAAGAAATTACACTCATTGCTGAAGTTAAAAAATTGCACATTGAAATGGAAACTCAGAATTCTTTACTTGAAGACCAGCAAAGGAAAGTAGAAAGATTACAAGATCAACTAAGGCAGGTAATGGCAGCACAGGAATGTTTCAGACATGGATCTCTGGCACAAAAACTAATAAGTCCATCACACTATGACAGATCCTCTTATCCACCAAGTCCTGCTACTCAAAGGTTAGGATCAGCACTCAGCAAAAGAAGCAGCAGTAAGGTGTGTGTACTACAGTGACACAGAGGAGAATATGTACATGTTGATGCCATGTGACTGATGAACTCACAATATAGTCTACTGTGGAAAGAGAATGACATCAGTTGACATACTCCTGCTGGCCGATACAGTAAGCATATACACAGTATACTATGCAAGTGATGGTCGAGAGGGATGAGCCCTGTATCGCACATGTAAAGTGAGTGACTACCAATAACAAAAATTGTCAAAATAAACTATTCAATAAGTTTTGCGGTGAACTACACAAAAACTGTAAAGTCACAGTGGAAGTTTCAATAAAGAACTGCTGTGTGGATTTGGAAAGCTAAGAAATAAATCGGTTGCTAATCACACTGTAACATATCCAGTTCTAGCTGACCTGGAGGTCCGAGCAGCTACAGAGACAGCCATCTATAGGCATGCTGTCGGAAGGCCAAGTCATCTCCATCTGGCTGACACTTGGTTGTCTACATGTAGCTTTAAAGATAAGGCAAGTCTATGATTCCTGTTCTGTTGTAAACGTGTATTACCTTGAGTACGTACGTTTTAAATTTTAAAGTAAGTAAGTAGTGATAAACACCTGGTGACACAAAGTGCTACTATGCAGATGAGGATCACCTGTGGAGACACCTAGGAAACCCCGTTCAACCATTATGTTATATTAGGGCCCCCGGCAACAGCCAGGGTGGGGGGTTCAAAATAATTAAAAATTGCATCCCATAAGTTGATGACTTTTAACTGATTTTTGAGTGAATATGTTAAACTGTTACTATATCTTTAGATGTCACTAAGTAGTGACATTAAATACAGCATTTCTTTTAACAATTTATAGTCTAAGAAGACTGTACTTGTAACATGTTCAGTTATAAAATGTAAGATTTGCTTAAAAACAATGTGGAGCAGTGCTTTACACCTCAGTAGAGCTGGAAGGTCAATACATGTGTAAGCAAGTGACATCCTTACAGACACACAGCCTGTTGATATTTGGTGGGGTAAAACTGTCCTTTAATTCTAAAGACTCTTATGTACAGCTAGTGGATAATTGGACATATGTACCCAAAAAAAAAAAAAATAATAAAGGAAAAGTCTTTTCTACATGTTATTAAAATCAAAGATAGATACTACATCCTGGAATAAAGAAATGAAACCTCAAAAGTGAGTCATTAGCCACTTAATGTTTGACTGCAAGCTCCCAACTCCCATATCATATACACAGACTGAAATATTGATCCAGTTCAAGAAAGCATATGGTGTTTTTCTCAAACTATGAAGCTGAAGTCACTGCACTGGCTGAAGCATCAGCACGCTGATTCCACTGCTCTTCCTTTACAGGTTGAGAACATTGTTTTTTTCACTGAATGGTTGTCAGCTCTGCTGGCTCTAGAACACAGTTAGTATAAGTAGGCTAAACCTGACAAGGTAACTAACTGCAGGCCAGACAGTCACACACCACAACACTAGGATGGCATGCAGTGAATCTCTGTCATTAGAGAATATCTGGCAATAATGAGACAAGCAGAATAGAAAATCTAGATGAGAACAGCTGTGTACATAAACAATTAAAGCAGCTAATAAGTATTGTTTGTAAATAAAGACAACTTATTGGGCAGATGGACTAGTAGAGACTTGGATTTGCCCAGTCATGACCCTAGAGACAAGAACCATTTGAAAAAGAAGAATCTGAACTGAATTTTCAAGCTTTATATCCCAACATGCAGCTGTTCAGCCTCCAACCACAACTCATGTCAAAGTATCTGCCGTAATAACCTCACAAAACTTTCAAACACTATATGTTTTAGTGTACAGCTCTTATGGATATAAGAATATTGTTAGTTCTGCTTGATTCAAGTATGTGTGTGATAGTTAACACTCAACTGAGGGATAACAAGCCAAAAAAAAAAAAAAAAAAAAGAATAGCCTATAGCCTTGAAGTGAGTTATACAAATGTCCTACCTCAACTAGAATTCAAACAAAATACCCCTGGTCATAAGCGTGTTAGCCACTACACTGATGCCATTCACATTAAATTAAAAGTGCATATATTAAATGAGATAATGGATGTATATCTGTGAATGTTGTGGCGGTGTGTGTTATCAGTGTGTGTGCCTCACTGACTGTGTGTTTGTGTGTGTGTTTGTGTCTGTATGTCTGCTTTTCCATCTGTCTGCGTTGCAGGTAAGTTTCTTCTTCTTCTTTCGTTCACTTAAAATAGATTATATCTGCAATATTGTCTCTAGTATGAACTTCACTGTCTTTTGTAATTCACTCAGCGACCCGTAAAGTTTGACTTGCACAGATGTTTCTCTTAGACAAAATTTTGCCTTGATATGTTATATTTGGGACAGTCCCGGAGGACATGCACTGTTGTCTCTGGTGCCAGTCCACATGTGCACATGTCTGATTCGCCGATTTTAAATTTAGTGTTCACGTGGCTGCAAAGCTGACTTGTGTTCTGTTCTAAGGTGTAGAATAATAACTTGCTCTGTCCATAATATGGTAATCATCTTGTGTCAATTTTGGTGGCTTTCTGATTGATTTGATTATTCTCTTCTTCTGTTGAACGTCAAGTTGTTCTTCATTTGCACCTTTCTTAGCTAGTTTATCAGCTGCTCTTTCATTCCCAGGAACTTCACTGTGGGATGGTATCCATTGCATAGTCACCTTACACAGGCTGCTTAATTTGGAGAGTAGTGTTTGTATACCAGGTAATTTTCCAGATTGGAGTGCCAGAAGCACCGCTCTTGTGTCTTTTAGGAATATCATGGGTTGTGAAATATACGTATATTTAAGTTTCTCGCTACTATTTTGATGGCTTGAACTTCTGCATCATAGTTGTGACAGTTTTTTCCTGTAGGTATTTTGGGTGTATGTCTGGTATTATTTGGATGGTCAGTATACACTCCTGCTCCTCTATTTCTGCTTGCATTTTGTGCTGACCCATCCGTATAGACATGAACCCAAAGATTGTGTGGGTATTCATCATCAAGTACAGCAAGGGTGGCTGTTTTGTTCTTCCTTGTCAGATACTCCTTTCACTTCTGTCTAGATGTGTATTGGCAACTTGTAATCCTCTTTCCAAGGGGTCCGATCTAGAATAGCATTTAAGGGGCTATTAGTTGCAGGCAGATCATCGGTTTGCCTGCAGTGTCTTTGGGCCTGGTTGATGAAACTGCTTCTTTTTAGTCATCTCATTTCTAGATTTTGGAATCTTTCTTTCATAGGGTGTTCAGGCATGCTACAAAACTTTTTTGCTTGTATCAGTATCTTAGTATCTGTTAGTTCTGTCAGTGTCTGGGTCATCGGGATCTTCTCCATCGCAGTTATAGGTGTTGATTTCATCCCGCCTGTTATGACTCTGAGCGCTTGATTTTGCACCTTGTCTAACTTTTGTAGCGTGGTTTTTTTTATGCTGAACTCCGTGCAGTTGATCTGTGTTCAAGGTGTGATCGTACACTTTGTTGATAAACTTAGCTAAGTATTCTCCCATTTGAGTCCAATGTTGTTCCACTTATTTTTTTTTCAAGGATAGCTATCTTCCCTCTAACTTTGGTTGCCGCCTTGTTGATGTGTTTTCTTCATGTTAACCTATCATCAAATGTTACTGCGAGGTATTTGGGCTCCTTATCCTCTATTAGTTGTTTTATATTTATCTGAATGACGCCTGATTTTTTTAGGAGGGAGAGGGTGAAGAGGATGGTGCTACACTTGTCTATGTTAATGCTGACACACCATTCATCAACCCATGCATCTATGGATCTTTGTAGCAGTCTAGTGGCCACTGTTGCATATATATTTGGGCACCATAGTACCAAGTTGTCAGCATACATTGCAGCATTAATACCATGCAGTAATTAGTTCAGTAATTAGGTCGTTGATATAGACCAGAAACAGTGTTGGGACAGGACATCACCTTGGGAAACACCATGGCGCAGCAAGACTTTCTTGCTCCTGAGTCCATCTATCTGTATCTGGCTTGCCTGTTACACAAGTACGCTTTCACCCATCTGTACATGTTCCTATTCACTTTGTAGTTTCTCAATTTCTCATGACACATTTTTTCCAGACCTTGTCTAAAACTTTCTTCAGTTCTATCCATGCCACAAGCGTTATCTTCTTTTCTTGAAAGGCATCTTCAATTTCTTGAGAGAGGTAAGTTGTCTGGTCTTCTGTGGGGTAGGACTGTCTAAAGCCTGTCTGCTGCGACATGAAAATGTTTTAATTTTCCATGTACAATTGAAATCTAAGGTTGACAATGCGTTTCTTTGTTTTACAGAGACAGTTGGTGAGGCAGATTGGTCTAAAAGCATTAAAACTGTCCTTTCCTGGTTTTAGGAGAGGTATCATGGTTGCTTCTCTCCATATCTGTGGAACTTTGCCACTGGCCCAACATTTATTAAAAAATCTGCAGCAGTTTTGTTTTGACTGGTGTCCCTAGGTCATTGATCACTTCATTGGTTATGCCATGAGTTACCAGGGGATCTGGCCAATGCTCAACACTCAAGGGAAGGGCGAGACGGATATACAACCAGACAGTTACTGGTGACATCAGAATTGGAACTCTTCATTTGCTGCTTAAGATGGGGACAGAGTGCTCATGGGGGTGTCCCGAGTGCAGTGATGTCAATTCTTGATTCAACATTCACCATTGGTTTTGCTATGGATTCCAGATGACTTTCCTATCATCACCTTCAATATTGCTAACCCTAACTCACTAGGCGAAATAGGTGCCTCCATTATCTCGGGAATTATATTATTTTGTCTTGAGTGTTGTCGTTTCTCTCGAGCCTCTCGTTGTTTCTCTGGACTTGATGTAAATATTTGCATATATATTTTTGAAGGTGTACATTTACTATCCATGCTGCTGTATTTTTACTTTACATTCATACTGTGAATTTTGATATATAAACATAATATGGTTGATATATAAAATACAGTTGCCATGTGAAAGATGAGTATTTGAAAGGGCCGAATGTAGGATGGCCTTTATGCTCAATTTGCAACCCTTTGGAAATAAAGTTTGT